ACCGTCCTGCTGTCTATATCAACTAACGCCTTTCATGGGGTCTCATGAGCGGACACTTTGGCACTTTAGCCCGACGTTTGGTTCATCCCACAGCGCCAGTTCTGCTTACCAAAAATACGGCCCACTAAGGCTCTCATTCAGTGGTGCTGGTTCAATGAAGAAACCAGCGCATCATGTAATGAAAGTTTGAGAATAGGTCAGAGTGACTTTTCAGTTGCAAATTCACTCGGCGTCGTTAAAGCCTGCCGAATATAACTGATGCGATGAGCGCCTGCTATCTGGAAACTGGAGGGAACCAGCACTGAATGGTTCGATTGGTCTTTCGCCCCTATACACCAGTCAAACGATCGATTTGCACGTCAGAATCGTTACGGACCTCCACCGGAGTTTCCTCCGGCTTCGTCCTGCTCATGTATAGTTCACCATCTTTCGGGTCCTAGCGCTGATAGAATGCGAATTCTCGCCCGTATGGCAAGCCATCGGGACGGGGCTATGGTGCAGGCGGCGGGCTGAGCCGTCACCCTCCCATATCAGCCGATCGAGAGTCAGCTTTCACTTACAAGAGGCCTCGAGTTTTGTGCACCCATTTCGACTTGCGCATACGCTAGACTTCTTGGACCGTGTCTCAAGACGGGTCGGATAGGTGGCTGACTTTCACACCGCATCCGACTAGCCACGACGCGCCTCCCCGCGCCACAAGAGACCACCCGCCCGAGGGCCGATGGGCAACGCGACACGGCTCAGCGTGCACGGCCAGCCGACGCGGCGCCAACGGACACCAAATGCACCTGTACCTCCCTTGCGAGGGGCGACGGCCGAACAGAGCCCCGCTTCGTCAACGCCAACCGCTTCCGCCCCAGTGGGTTTCACGTACTCTTGAACTCTCTCTTCAAAGTTCTTTGCAACTTTCCCTCACGGTACTTGTTTGCTATCGGTCTCGCAGCCATATTTAGCCTTAGATGAAGTTTACCACCCTCTTAAGGCTGCGTTCTCAGGCAACCCGACTCTAAGGAACCGGCGACCGCCACGCCCGCCACCCGTACAGGATTTGCACCCTCTTCGATCTGTGGCCCCGCTCAAAGGGACTTCGGGTGGTGGAACGCGTCGGAAACCGACACCTATACGTCACATTTCCCAGCGACCATGGGCCGAGGGATTCGACGCTGGGCTTTTCCCCTTTCACTCGCCGTTACTGGGGGAATCTTCGTTAATTCCTTTTCCTCCGCTTAGTAATATGCTTAAGTTCAGCGGGTAATCACGACTGATCTGAGGTCTCTATTCGTTGGCACTTGGCGCGACGCCCGCGCTCGAACGTGATGATGAATATGAGAATATTATGCATCGCTCGAATCGGGCTAGCCGCAGTAAGCGTCAATGGCGATGTGTTGCCGCTGCTGCTGCAACACATCATCGTTCGCCACGAGTCGAGCCAGCCACCAATGCAGGCGGCCAACACGAGCTCCCAGTAATCGCTGGAGGAGAAACCCTCCAGGCAAAGTACATGTTTGCGGCCCTCAGACAGACGTGCCGACGGGAAAACCCGCCGGCGCAATTTGCGTTCGAAATTTCGATGCTCAATGTGTTTGCAATTCGCATCAATTAACGCAGCTGGCTGCGTTCTTCATCGATCTGCGAGCCGAGTGATCCACCACTGAAGATGATCTGTTTCGTTTCGTTTTCGTTACAGTTGGTTCGATTCGATTCGTTATGAATTGTGTGCGACTGGTGGAGCCGGAGCGTGGCAATCTCATTAAGTCTTCGCTGCTCACGAAGAGCTGCGTCAGCCATCCAGAGGCGACGGATGGGGCAGACGCCAGTCGCGGGTTAGTTTGCCAGAGAATTGGTGTGTGGCTCTCGGCAGACCACATCGAATATTGTGTTGTGTGTCGTTACAGATCGGTATTGATCCACCGGCAGGTTCACCTACCGGTACCTTGTTACGACTTTTACCCGGTTCAAACCGTCGCGATCAAGCCAGTTCATCAACCGCAGACACGAGGCCTGTGGCCAATTCCCTGGATTTCTCGAAACGGTTCAGTCCCGGGTAGCGACGGGCGGTGTGTACAAATCGCAGGGACGTATTAAGAGCGAGATGATGACTCACACTTACTAGGAATTCCTCGTTTAAGGGAAATAGTTGCAATTCCCTATCCCGATCACGGAGTCCTTTCAACGGTTTACCAGTGACCCTTCGGCCATGGAACACGTTGCAGACTCCAGTGTAGCACGCGTGCAGCCCCGGACATCTAAGGGCATCACAGACCTGTTATTGCGTGATTTCGTGCGGCTCTATACCGCCGATTCCTCTAAGAACACCGACCGGCAAAGTTACCGGCGATGTATTAAGTAGGCTCACGTCTCGCTCGTTATCGGAATAAACCAGACAAATCGCTCCACCAACTAAGAACGGCCATGCACCACCAACCACCGAATCAAGAAAGAGCTTTCAGTCTGTCAATCCTTACAGTGTCCGGGCCGGGTGAGTTTTCCCGTGTTGAGTCAAATTAAGCCGCAGGCTCCTGCGGGGCTCCGCCCCGGGGGGCCGTCACCGGTCCCCCACCACAGCATTGTTACTCGCGAGGTCATGTCTACACCTCTTTTTGCATTTGCATTTGACTCTTGTTGCTGTGGCCAGTCCTACCTGGATCTAAGGATATGGTCTTTCGGAAGTGCTCGTTTTTCCACAGGTAGTCAGCGGGGTACTCTCTCAAACCCCGGTCCATACTCCAATTGCGCCTGCCTTTCTATCGTCGATGGGTCGCGCGTGTCTAACTAGTTGCGCTGGTCATATAGGTACGAGGACTATCCTTGGATGGGAGGTCCTCTAGTGCTCGCAAAATGGCTTAGGAAGCAATAGTACGTGCCGCAAGCCGCCGCGCGGCTTAACTGTTCCGCCAACTTTTCCTCCACTTTCCCTCCAATTCCCAGTTGGCGACGAATCGCTTCTCTGGTGTATTCAGGGACTTCTCCACACGCTCCGATCACCAGCGGTATGAAATCGACTTTTGCGTGGTATCGTTCAGCGAGTTCCAAACAAATGTTCGGACCACCTTTAAGTGGGGCTGTGCTCTCGTTATCAGCCTTCTCGCCGTTCACAGTGTACCTCCACGTTTTTATGTTTTTAGCCAATTCCATATTATCGGGCCAAGCTACAGCGATTTCGATCACAACAATTCGATCATACCAGGTGGTGGGCCCACCGGTACCATCTTTGCTGCGGATGAACAGAACGATATCAGGGCGCGTATGATAGATGTTATCACGCGCCGGGATCTTTACGTCCCACCACAGGACGCCAGTTTTCCCTCTGCTCTCAGGCGGTGGGCACTTTGAGTAATGTACTGTTTCAACTCCGTACTTTTTGGCAAGGAACTTGTATATGGATCGCGCGACTGCGTCGTGTCGTCGCATGTAGGTAGTGAATGAAGATCTCTCGCACTGGTTCGAGATGTGCTCTGCGGTCTCGAGAGCTCCGCAAGGGCACTTTCTCCCCAGCCGCGAGGAGACTTCAATGATCCGTTCCGATTGCACCGCTGTGACCACCCGTGTCACGTTTGGTGCCACCCATCCTTTCTCAAGCCAGAGAGTTTTCCCGGTATCAGTTCTCTGGGCACGCCCTTCGACCTGATGCCAGCTCTCCAGCCAGTATCGTTTAAAGTGAGATCGGATTGTTGCCAGTCCGCTGGTTAGGGCGGTTTCCGGTGTCGTGTGCTCCACCCCTCCAATAAATAGTCTCTTGGTGTCAATTTCGAAGGTTATCGCAGGAGTCCACTGCATGGCTCTGTTAAAATCAGAGATGAGCGACCGGCGTTTTTGCCGCTCAGCCTTGCAATGGATCCCGAGGAGTTCGCTGGTGTTCGGGTGTAGTACTAGGTGTACAAATGCCCGGAAGATGCCCCTTTGCAATGCTTCTGCGAAACTCCTGAGGCCGAGTCCTCCGTCTTCTCTGTCGACGTAGATTCTATTCTTGGCGGCTGTCTGATACCACAACTTGGTTTCACCTTCAGTGAGAGATTCCATGGTGATGCGCTCCAGTTTCTTGGTCAGGGCTACGACTTGTTCGAAGCTATTTAGCAGTTGGTTCATCGAGAATACGTACTCCGCCTTCGGGATCAGCTCTTGATTGATCCTCGCAATGATTTGCGCCGAAGTTATGTCTTGGGTATGTACGATTTCCCTCGTCCGTTCGCCAATAGTCTTCTTCAAATCGGATACTGTTGCAAGTCCTGCGGTTTGGCCCCTTTGATAGATACCTAGGTATCGATACCCGTCCTCGCCTTTCAGCTTCGGGATACCCTCTAGAACATCGGGTCCGTCCGCTTCCGGATTAGCGCAGATGACATTGTACGCGCTTTTCCCAGGGTTAATCCACAAACCCATGGCTTGACCGGTATCCTGCACAATCCGCAGGCCTCGCGCCAGTTCTGCTTCGCTGTGGGCGAATAACTTCAGGTCATCAATGTAGTACAGGTGGTTGAAGGTGGATTGCTGTTGCCCCACGGTCCGTGTTTCAGTGGTATACCCACCAGTCATCTTATTTAGATGGTAGCTGATGGGGGCAACCGCAATGCAAAACAGTAACGGTGATAGTGAGTCCCCTTGCAGGATGCCACTCCTGATCCGGATCTTCCCTATCTCGTGTCCTGCCAGGATGATTTTCACCTCCCATGCCTTGATTAGGTTTCGAAGCAGGGCTTTCGCTCCGCTGCGTATTGGAAACCTATCTACTAGTTCAAGTAGATATGCGTGGCTGATTGAATCAAATGCTTTTGCGAAATCAAGCCAAGCCTCCCACAGCTCCGAGTGGGGGCCCCTCTTTCGGAGTTTCGCGTCCAGAAGGACGCTCCGATCCGTTAGATGGCTTTCGAGGCAGCCGGAGACACCTTTCCGGATTGCTTTTTGCGTAATAGGTAGCAATTTCTGATTCATTTCGGCAATGGGGGCGATCATCGCTGTTAGTACACCCGTGATCACCTTGTATTGCGTGTTCAAGAGACAAATAGGTCGGTACTGGTCAGGCTTCGGATCATCGCATTTCGGAAGCAGCAATGTCCTGCCTTCAGTGAGCCACCTGGGCAGAGACGGGTTATGCGCATCGAGCGTGCGATTGATTAGCGTGAAGATCGCCAATCTCGCCGTTGGTAGCTTTTGCCACCAGATCGCTCGAATTCCGTCCGGCCCGGGCGCTTTCCGACCTTTCATCTTCTTTACTACACTTTCACCCAACCTCCTCACTTCATCTCTATCTTCAGTTACTTCGTCCCCAGCGAGACTTTCGTCCAAGTCCTTCAGCCATTGGGTGATGATGTTCGTTTTGGTGAACTTGCGCTCACGTCCGAATATTTGTTCCCATGTGGCGAGGACTTGGGAATGGTCAATGTTCCCTGTTGTGGTGTGAAGCTGTTTTCGGGTCCCAGCAACCCTCGAGCGGATTCTCTGTCGATCGCTTTCATCCCTTTTCAGCGCGAACGACTTGTTCTCCTTGCGGAGTTTAACGTCGAGAATGCTCGCTTCAAGGTGACGGACGGTCCTGATTCCCGCTTTACGGTTCTTTCGGATCGCCGCAATCACCTTCCATGGGGGGGCTGTTTCCCTTGGCACCACGTCGCCAGTATAGTTCAGTTCGCAGGGTCTCTAGTTTCCGATCCAGATCATCAGTGTCACACTTTATCTTTTGAGCCGCTACACGTTTAACGCTCTGTTTCTCTCCAATGAGAGTAGTAATAGTTTTCGCTACCGCATACACGGCCGCGTTAACTACTGTGTGTGTCCATCTGTGATCCGGCAGCGTTCTCCTCAGCGTCTGGAGCCAGGCGTCGCCCTCGTCCGTTAGCTTCCTCGGAATGTCGCTGGTTTGAGCGATTGGTTTCCTTTTTGCTTAGGTCCATATCCCTCACACTTCGGTACAGTTTCCATGCAAGTTCTGAGTCAAACTGGATGTCATCGTTAGAATCTTCACTTTCAGTCTCACCTCGCTCCAGTTCTGCTGATTGCTTGGTACCCTCCTCTGGGTCCTCGCGTTCTCTTACCTCGCTCTCGTTTGGCTGCGGGTCATAGCTGCGGTTCATCGCGCTCTCCTTAGCTTTCACTCGAGCCTCTTTTCTCTGGTTGGCGTCACGGTTCTTCACTTCGGTAACTCGCTTTTTGATTGCAGGCAGGGTTCGCTTTGGCAGCGCCCTCTGCAGTACGTCCCACCTTAGGAATGGTGTGTTACCTTGTGAATATTCGCTTAGCTCAGCCCGCAGCACATCCTCTTCATCCTTTTGCCATATTCTAGGCGCTTTTCGGTTGCCTGCCATCGGTGTTATTTGGCTAGCAACCTTGCGAGTACGTTCCCGTGGTGGCCGGGCAGATGCTCCAGCCACATCCGGGTCGTTATTCCTCGCAATCCCTACTGGTTCGTTCATTAGCCGGGAGACCGACCTTCCACCGCTTAGCAAGCCCTCTACTGGTGCGATGTTGATTTTGCACTTTCGAGAGCCAGTACCCGGATCGTGCCACTTGGAGGCGGGTGGAAGGGATCTCTGCAACTTGGCGTCAATATCTATTGCAGAAATATTTTCCAGCATTAGGGGCACAGTGGTTCCTGATGGTTCACTGGCAATAGGTCTCACGACCCCGCAGGCTCCACTCCTGGTGGTGCGATTCCGTCAATTCCTTTAAGTTTCAGCTTTGCAACCATACTACCCCCGGAACCGGAAGTCTTTCGTTTCCGGGAAGCTCCCGGCGAGGCAATAATACCACCGCCGGATCGCTAGATGGTATCGTTTACGGTCAGAACTACGGCGGTATCTAATCGCCTTCGAACCTCTGACTTTCGTTCTTGATTAACGAAGACATTCTTGGCAAATGCTTTCGCTGTAGGTCGTCTCGCTACGGTCCATGAATTTCACCTCTCGCGTAGCGATACGTATGCCCCCGTTGGTCCCTCTTAATCATTAATCCAATTCCGAAACCAACAGTAAGGAACCGAAGTCCTTTTCCATTATTCCATGCAAAAACATTCAAGCGAAACGCCTGTTTTGAGCACTCTGATTTCTTCAGAGTAACTCTCGCCGACGTGAGCCGACGAAATTAACCCTGGAGCACGGTACCACACAGAGGTGGACCGGCCCCGCGGGCTCAGATCCAACTACGAGCTTTTTAACCGCAGCAATGATGTCATACATTTTGAGAGCTGGAATTACCGCGGCTGCTGGCACCAGACTTGCCCTCTCATTGATCCTCGTTAAAGGGTTTGAATTTTACCCATTTCGATGACTGCTCCCATAGGAAGCAGTCTCGTTAGTTGTTGTCACTACCTCCTCGCATTGAGAGTGGGTAATTTGCGCGCCTGCTGCCTTCCTTAGATGTGGTTGCCGTTTCTCAGGCATCCTCTCCGGAGTCAAACCCTGATCCTCCGTTACCCGTTATCACCATGGTAGCCAACTAAACTACCATCAAAGTTGATAGGGCAGTTGATTGCGTGAATTGCCGCCGCTTGCGCATGCGGTCTGCGAGTTATTCAGAATCATCACCGAAACAACCGTTGCCGGTGGTTGGTGAATCTAATAAATGGTGCCGAAGCACTGCACTGTATTAGCTCCAGAATTACTAGAAGTATCCATTGAGAAGGATTTCACGCGAATTTCAACTGTTGTAATGAGCCGTTCACAGTACCACCGAGCGAGGGTGGGAACTTAGATATGCATGGCTTAATCTTTAACATAAACATATCGACACTGGTAGGATCAACCAGATATCTATTCGCGACCAACAATAGCGCCTGGGGGCACTAGGGCTGGGGCGAGGGTCCGCTGGTTCACTATCACGCCACACTGCCCCCCGGTGGCGGGGGGCAGACGTTCATAGCCACAGCACCGAATCGCTCACGAGCGACACCTCGTCTCATGTGTGTACACACACACGTCGTATTGTTGGAGCCATGGCGGAACAGCCCACAACGGGCGCTCACATCTCCTCAACATTCCCCGCCGAATACGTAGTGCCAACGCCAGCGGAGCCCTGCTGCTGCTGTTACACAACACACAAGGCTCAACACCGCATTTGCTCTACTCTTCGACGAAGAAATCGGGCGATGCACGACACAGGCGATGCATAGTTGGCACCCCGCCATGAATGGATGCGTGGCGGTGGGCTAGTGGTGGCTGGGCGCTATTGCGGGGATGGATGGGCTAGTGGTGGCTGGGCGCTATTGGGGGAGACCGTGTGGCGGTGGCACACACTATTCGATGGGCTAGTGGTGGCTGGGCGCTATTGCGGGGAGACCGTGTTGCGGTGGCACACACTATTCGATGGGCTAGTGGTGGCTGGGCGCTATTGCGGGGATGGGTGGGCTAGTGGTGGCTGGGCGCTATTGGGGGTATGGGTGGGCTAGTGGTGGCTGGGCGCTATTGCGGGGATGGGTGGGCTAGTGGTGGCTGGGCGCTATTGCGGGGATGGGTGGGCTAGTGGTGGCTGGGCGCTATTGGGGGAGGCCGTGTCGCGGTGGCACACACTATTCGATGGGCTAGTGGTGGCTGGGCGCTATTGCGGGGATGGGTGGGCTAGTGGTGGCTGGGCGCTATTGGGGGAGGCCGTGTTGCGGTGGCACACACTATTCGATGGGCTAGTGGTGGCTGGGCGCTATTGCGGGGATGGATGGGCTAGTGGTGGCTGGGCGCTATTGGGGGAGACCGTGTGGCGGTGGCACACACTATGCGATGGGCTAGTGGTGGCTGGGCGCTATTCGAGGGGGGCCGAGCGGGCTAGTGGTGAGCCATGCTATCGCGAGAGAGGCCGGGTCGCGGTGGCACACGCTATTTGCCCGTGCACATAGCGCGCCACGCAGTATGAGCGAGCCCCGAATAGATATCTGGTTGATCCTACCAGTGTCGATATGTTTATATTAAAGATTAAGCCATGCATATCTAAGTTCCGAGCTCGACTAGGCGCTGACTTCAAAAGACCGTATCTCCGTTGTTTCTTGGTATTTTTGGCTGAAATTTTTTTTGGTGATAGTTTCGGACATGCCGGTTCTTTTCATTAGGTAAGACAATTGTTCCATCAAACTGTGACGCCGAAAGTTCAGCCGAAAGTAGACGTACTGCTAAGTTTCCCAAAAATCCGACAGCTCGCTTTCACTGCGCTTTAAAGTGGAACGAGTTTCGTCGACGCTGTGCGGCTGCTCGGAGCCATCCATTTGAAGAGGCCATCGACCATTTCGCGTTGATTGTAAGCCATGACGAGTCACGAACTTCCAGAGTCACTATCAAGGTTGAACACGGGAGTGTGAGCTCAGCTGAATGCTCACGGCCGTGTCACGGAATTTTTGTACGGCCGTGTCTGGTGGGGAGCCACGGCGGTGTGGAGGCCCGTGTCACGGCCGTATAGGGCGGGGGTGCCACGGCCGTGAGGAGGCCGTCTCACCGCCGTATGTCGGCTCACATACAGGCTTTTCCCCCAGTATATTCCCGTAATGGGAAATATACTAGAGTCGTTTTAAAATGTATAAAATAGGCAAAATCTTAAATTTATAAAAAATTTATAAAAATCTTAGATAATCTTATTTATAAAAATCTTAGAAAAAAATCAATTTATAAAAAACCAGCCGATCACAGCCGCTTCGCGACTGTAATCGGCTGGCCTTCGGGCTACCCTCCATGTTCTACGCCACCACATACACCTCTACCTTAATACCCACGCCCACCTTCAGAACCTTCTCTAGCCAACCCCCGGCAAAAAGTTAAACTACCTACCCATACTAACTACCATAAACTACTTAACTGACTAACTACATACCATAAACTACTTAGATGTCTTCCTCATCGCTTCAGATACCCCCCATAGCCCATACCCCTTAAAAACAACTTCAATAACTTAGGTACATCCCCTAACCAAAAATTCCTAAAAAACCACTTCGCTACCTTCCTGGTGGCTTCAGATACCCCCCATAGCCGAAACCCCCTTCAAAAACGACTTCGATACCTTCCTGGTGGCCCCAGATACCCCCCATAGCCGAAACCCCCTTCAAAAACGACTTCGATCCCTTCCTGGTGGCTTCAGATACCCCCCATCGCCGAAGCCCCCTTCAAAAACGACTTCGATCCCTTCCTGGTGGCTTCAGATACCCCCCATAGCCGAAACCCCCTTAAAAACTACCAAAATGCCTTCCTGATGGCTTCAGATACCCCCCATAGCCGAAACGCCCTTCAAAAACTACCAAAATGCCTTCCTGATGGCTTCAGATACCCCCCATAGCCGAAACGCCCTTCAAAAACTACCTAAATACCTTGCTGATGGCTTCATATACCCCCCATAGCCGAAACGCCCTTCAAAAACTACCAAAATGCCTTCCTGATGGCTTCAGATACCCCCCATAGCCGAAACGCCCTTCAAAAACTACCTAAATACCTTCCTGATGGCTTCAGATACCCCCCATAGCCGAAACGCCCTTCAAAAACTACCAAAATGCCTTCCTGATGGCTTCAGATACCCCCCATAACCGAAACGCCCTTCAAAAACTACCTAAATACCTTCCTGATGGCTTCAGATACCCCCCATAGCCGAAACGCCCTTCAAAAACTACCAAAATGCCTTCCTGATGGCTTCAGATACCCCCCATGGCTGAAATCCCCTTCAAAAACTACCTAAATACTTTCCCGATGGCTTCAAATGATTTAAATAATAAATTAACATAATTAAAAAGTATTAAAGTAACTTAAAAGGCTATTTGGGCGCGGGAAGGGGCCTGGGGAAGAGGAGCGAAGGAAAGGGGGCGTGGCCTCCCGGGGAGAGGGCCCCCACTCGTTTTATTAAGGCGCCACTTTCAAAGTTAATTATTTTTATTTAAACAAAAACTTTTGGTACAAGGATGGTTGGGGGGGGCCACTTTTTTTTGTCGGTTTCAGATCAGTTTTTTGTGCTGAGTTCGAATTTCACAAAATCAGGTTCGAATAACGCCTTTTCCCACCGTAAAAAGCCTTAACCTGTTTAACAAGGGTTTATCGCAACAACAAGGATATAACAAGATAATAGACTAGTAACAAGTGTGGTCGCGCTAGCTTATCATTCGCAAGGGTAGTGATCGTGGACTTGTTCCCAGAAATGGTAGAAAGGGTCGGTGGAAAATTCCTGGCGCCATAGAAGTAGTATAGTATAGGCTTAGTCTAGGCCTAGCTTAGGCTTGGCCTAGCCCTAGCTCAGGCTTGTTCTAGACTTAGCTTAGGATTGGGCTTAAGCCTAGGCTTGGCTTAGGTTATGCTTAGGCTGGGCTTGGCTTGGTTAGCTTAGGCTTGGAGAAAAGCTTAGGTCGGAAAAAAACCCCAAAAAAAAAAGATGCCCCCCAACATCAATGGCTCCGGTTGTATTTTAGGAAAGTGGATATCGCGGCTGATACCGCCGTTTTACGGTGGAAAACGGCGTTATTCGAACCTGATTTTGTGAAATTCGAACTCAGCACAAAAAACTGATCTGAAACCGACAAAAAAAAGTGGCCCCCCCCAACCATCCTAGTACCAAACTTTTTCATAATTTTTTGATCATTTAAGGGGTTTCTGACTACGCTCTATCCAAATCCGAAGAGGCCTAAGCTCTACCCCCTTTCCCCTACGAGTTATAGTTGGCTTCTGACGGACAGACGGACGGACAGACACCACTACTGAATTCTTATAGTTGATTGATGATACCGGTTTGATAGCAAAACTTAGCGAAAAAAAGAAAATACGTACCTTTCATTTCCATGAATTTTGAAACTTACCTGCGCCATTTCTTTCATATTTTCGCAGCAACGTCATCCAGCCCGCAGAGAATCGCACAATACCTCGACCGTTTTTGCCGTGTCGTGCCATATTTATGCCATAGTTCCCTCGACAGCCTGAAGAAGAATTTTTAGAGTGAATGTGGACAAAAGCTACTTATTACAGAAAAGATGCAACGTTTTGAAAAGCTTTCTGTTAGCGCGGAAACTTGGCCGTCGTTTCCCATCACAAAAAGCTCCTTTTTCCTTTACTACTTTTTTACTCCTTTTTGATTGTAAACAGGCTCTCTATATGAAATTCATTTCCCATATCTTTTGGAACAAAAAGCCCGATTTTTCCGGCCTAAAAACGTAAACTCATGTGGTAAATTTGGTTTCCACCCTCGCTAACAGCCCAAAAACATTATCTTGAATTTCGCTGTGCTAATTGGAAAATCACTAACCTTTCGGCACCTCCATCGATATTTCCATTTTGACCATAAATCCAAAACGATAAACGGCCGTTGTCTAGCTAAACACGGAATAAAGTAACCTTAAAAACGGAAATACCCAAAACTGCGTGTAGACGAAAAGCTGAAGCGGCATCGAAGAACTTCATCTCTAAGAAAGGCATAATTAAACTTGTTTGTCTAGACATAGTCAGTTTTCCCGAGATTTTGAGCAAATGCCTAAGAAGCCGTCCTGAAGTTCGCAGTTTTTGCGGGAATTTGGGTTCTTTCGCATTTTCAGTGGGGTCAACTTTTTCCTCGTACCTAATTTTTCAAATATAAACAGCGGTAGTGTTTTTAAATGATTTTCTATTATTTCTAAACTAAAAACCACACAAAATGGTTTTGAAAATGGAAAAAAATATCGGTTTTTCGACCAAGACGGCCCATTTTTGACCAAAATTTCGATTCCAGACTGTTTTAGCATTCATGAACGACGATCTAAGCGTAGAACGAATCAAACTAGGCGAAATTACCGCTAGTGGAGTTAAAACATACTTTTTTCGAGTCTGATGCATTCCTTGTTCTCGCTCCACCATTTATCCAGACGATTATTCATCATCGCATAGGGGCTGCTAAAACTGAACGTCATATAAGCCTCGAAAAAAGAGAAACCAACCCGCCGATGATCGAAGACAGACACGCGCACCGCGCAACATCATCATAAGAAGCTTTCTAAACAAAACTATTGTAAAAATAGGCGGATAACAAGAAATTACCAGGCTGCCATCATCCATAAAGCATCACCAACATCGTCAGCCTTCGAGCCTCTAAAACGAATCATTACTAAGAATATAAACACACACTATCCATCGTTGCAGGCGTTTCAAATCCCAGACTCGTTGTTCGACCCTGCAAACTAAAAAAGCGTAAGAAACAACGAACACTTACAATTCGGTATTTTCAGCGTCAGTCCTCGTCAGTCGGTCCGATCCGTCATTGTACCATCCATGAAGAAGGTGACCAGGCTGGAATACGAAGATAAAAAGGGTTTTAAAACATGATCACAACATGAGCGAGTGCTTTCGCATTTGCGATGCGTTCAGAAGCCAAAAGGACCAAAAACAAACCTTAATCCAACCGAATCGGGCATCTTCGAGCGGAATCCTCGCCTTCGAGCAGTCAATAGCATTGATTGCGATGGGAACTACCTAGAAACAAAGAAATTAGCGATACACAGCAAATACACACTTTTTACCAGCGTACGCTAGCGTACGGGCGAGAGAGAAAGATAGAGAAGGCCGAAAAATGAATGAAGTTTGCGACGAGGGCTGCTACAGTACAGGAAAAAATCCGTAATGTGTATTGTGACGTTCAATTTTGGGGGCTGGGTCTCACGGCGGCTCTTTGTAAAGTTTATTGATACGGAATATTGAAAAATGGAATAAAACAGCTCCTTTTTGCCAATTTTTACTAATTAAAGTAAATTAGAAAAGGAAAGTTGCGCAAGAAAGAGCTAAGGTGAGGAAATAAAAGTAGTAGAGCCTTGTCCAAGACAGGCAAATTTGCGTTAGGGTCGGGTCTCCGTAGTTGTAATCCCTAGCGGAAATTAAAATAGTAAAGTTATTCGGAAAAGTTTATCAGGAACGATATCGGGAATGTTAGAAATCAGGTTAATAACGGGGTAGAAGTTTTTCTTTTTCTTTCTGTTCGCTACAGCCTAGTTTACTGAATCGTTTACGTTAGGTAAAGGGTGACATAGTAGCAGCGCGTAGTCTACGGGCTAGAATTCTGGCAGGAAAGCCAAGGAAAGTAAGAACGGAAGGGAAAGTTAGAGGGAAAAGGTAAAAAAGAAGAAGAAAAGTATGTTAGAATCGCAGAAGTAAGTGGCGTTTATTTGTTATGGTCACAATTGTGTTTAATGCCAAGTGCTGGGTACTTAGTCAAGGCTTTATTGCAAAGACCAAGTAAAATAGGTTTAGGATACCCGTTATTTTTTAAGTGAGTGATTAGTTGGATAAGGTGCTTAGTAAAGGAAGCCTGTTCTGAGCACTTACGTGCTATTCTAATAGTTTCTCCTTAGCACCTTTTGCATATCACGGCCTTTTTCGCGCACCTGACTCATTTCGCATGTCGACTGCTTCGTTTTTCTGAGCTTCCTGGACTCGAAAGTATCAGCTGCTCCGCAATACACGAACACGCGTCGGAGCGTCAGCAGCGAGCCAAGCCCGCTATGTAGCCAGAGACCATCGGCTTTGTAGGGGCCACGCGTGACTTCATGGTATTTTCGCAGTACCTGTAGCTTTTGAATAAACGAAGGTATGGCCAATGGATAGTAGTTTGTAGGAAAGACCATCTAAGCAGATCCTGGCAATCCGAAGTCAAAAAGCACTGAAACTTTCAGCCCGACAGCTACAATATTTGTAGAGTTGTTGCAATAATAAAAGCTACTATGCGTCTTCACAGGGATTTGGCCGCAGGTGGGCTCCCAGATATTCCGAGCAATGAAGCGTCGATCCTTTTTACTCGTAAAATTTTTTACGTCAAAATTTGGCTGGGAAATAGCCCACTTTAATCCCAAGAGAACCACCTAAGGTCAAGGTGGCTTTTCTGTATGGGACCAGGGGCGTAGCTCGGGCCAAATTTTGGGAGGGAGGGGGGGCGAAAAACTTTGGGCTTGACTTAAAAACAGTAGCAGGGGCCGGCGACCCAGAGCCGGGGCTGGGTATCGGGGGAGGGGCCGGGGCCGGAGCCGCGTGCCAGGAGTGACTTATTTAAACTGGTCATTTTATTATTGGATTTCTAGCCATTTCTTTTATCGAAACATCCATAAAATCGAAAAAATCGAATTTTTTCGACAAAATGACCATTTTCGGTTTCGGTGCTTCCGATTTTGGGGGCGGGGGGCAGGGGGCCCACCTTACGCTACGTCCCTGTATCGGACCCAGCCTATTTTATGCAGACCTTGTTATTTAACTTTGTAAACTTGTATTTTATCAAAATTCTGAAAGCGCCATTGGAAACAGAAGGGTCGATTCCCCCAAGTGACGGAGAATTAGAGCATCTTATGCACGGGAAGGCCCTCAAATCGGGCCTTGAAAGTGACATCCACACACACACAGTTACACGCCAAAATTATATAAGGTAGGATTCCCGGCCGATTTCTCAAAAATCAATATCGCCATCGTATTCAGAAAAATGTTCTCTATCGAATGAGCTTAGGCTTAGGCTTAGGCTCATTCGATTAGCCCTAAGCCTAAGCATAGGGTGTACACGTTGGGACGAGTACACGGCCCCTCCCTGAACGTGCGCTTTAACCCAAAATTGTTGAAAATCGAAAAAATCGACGATACTTGATATAGACTCGGATTTTTGCATGGCAAATGGTGAAAAACAGCCTATTTCACACCCCTGTAAGTGGTCGTAGATAGGTAGTAGCGCACTAATGAAATATACCATTCGAATCAGGAAAAATAATTCTTTATGCTTTACTTCCTATCTTTTCCAACTATACTCTCTTCTAATCTCTCCATTTTAACCTCAAAAACGTCCATAAATGGGATGGGGGCCCACCTTACGCTACGTCCCTGTATCGGACCCAGCCTATTTTATGCAGACCTTGTTATTTAACTTTGTAAACTTGTATTTTATCAAAATTCTGAAAGCGCCATTGGAAACAGAAGGGTCGATTCCCCCAAGTGACGGAGAATTAGAGCATCTTATGCACGGGAAGGCCCTCAAATCGGGCCTTGAAAGTGACATCCACACACACACAGTTACACGCCAAAATTATATAAGGTAGGATTCCCGGCCGATTTCTCAAAAATCAATATCGCCATCGTATTCAGAAAAATGTTCTCTATCGAATGAGCTTAGGCTTAGGCTTAGGCTCATTCGATTAGCCCTAAGCCTAAGCATAGGGTGTACACGTTGGGACGAGTACACGGCCCCTCCCTGAACGTGCGCTTTAACCCAAAATTGTTGAAAATCGAAAAATCGACGATACTTGATATAGACTCGGATTTTTGCATGGCAAATGGTGAAAAACAGCCTATTTCACACCCCTGTAAGTGGTCGTAGATAGGTAGTAGCGCACTAATGAAATATACCATTCGAATCAGGAAAAATAATTCTTTATGCTTTACTTCCTATCTTTTTCCAACTATACTCTCTTCTAATCTCTCCATTTTAACCTCAAAAACGTCCATAAATGGGATGGGGCCCACCTTACGCTACGTCCCTGTATCGGACCCAGCCTATTTTATGCAGACCTTGTTATTTAACTTTGTAAACTTGTATTTTATCAAAATTCTGAAAGCGCCATTGGAAACAGAAGGGTCGATTCCCCAAGTGACGGAGAATTAGAGCATCTTATGCACGGGAAGGCCCTCAAATCGGGCCTTGAAAGTGACATCCACACACACACAGTTACACGCCAAAATTATATAAGGTAGGATTCCCGGCCGATTTCTCAAAAATCAATATCGCCATCGTATTCAGAAAAATGTTCTCTATCGAATGAGCTTAGGCTTAGGCTTAGGCTCATTCGATTAGCCCTAAGCCTAAGCATAGGGTGTACACGTTGGGACGAGTACACGGCCCCTCCCTGAACGTGCGCTTTAACCCAAAATTGTTGAAAATCGAAAAATCGACGATACTTGATATAGACTCGGATTTTTGCATGGCAAATGGTGAAAAACAGCCTATTTCACACCCCTGTAAGTGGTCGTAGATAGGTAGTAGCGCACTAATGAAATATACCATTCGAATCAGGAAAAATAATTCTTTATGCTTTACTTCCTATCTTTTCCAACTATACTCTCTTCTAATCTCTCCATTTTAACCTCAAAAACGTCCATAAATGGGATGGGGGCCCACCTTACGCTACGTCCCTGTATCGGACCCAGCCTATTTTATGCAGACCTTGTTATTTAACTTTGTAAACTTGTATTTTATCAAAATTCTGAAAGCGCCATTGGAAACAGAAGGGTCGATTCCCCAAGTGACGGAGAATTAGAGCATCTTATGCACGGGAAGGCCCTCAAATCGGGCCTTGAAAGTGACATCCACACACACACAGTTACACGCCAAAATTATATAAGGTAGGATTCCCGGCCGATTTCTCAAAAATCAATATCGCCATCGTATTCAGAAAAATGTTCTCTATCGAATGAGCTTAGGCTTAGGCTTAGGCTCATTCGATTAGCCCTAAGCCTAAGCATAGGGTGTACACGTTGGGACGAGTACACGGCCCCTCCCTGAACGTGCGCTTTAACCCAAAATTGTTGAAAATCGAAAAAATCGACGATACTTGATATAGACTCGGATTTTTGCATGGCAAATGGTGAAAAACAGCCTATTTCACACCCCTGTAAGTGGTCGTAGATAGGTAGTAGCGCACTAATGAAATATACCATTCGAATCAGGAAAAATAATTCTTTATGCTTTACTTCCTATCTTTTCCAACTATACTCTCTTCTAATCTCTCCATTTTAACCTCAAAAACGTCAGGGAACCAGCTGAGGAGACCCATCCTGACGTATTTCAAGCCTGTCTTGGGTTAAGGGGCGAAACAGGCATACCTTTTCTTTCTTTAACCTCTCAAATACTCGTTTACGAGTACCCGCCTCACCTTCATGGTGAGGTTTGTGCCCTTTTGGACAACCCGCTTGTTCTGCCATCGCCCAGAAACGTGTCGTTTTTGGCGAGGGAGCAATCCCGATCCTTATCTGTCCTGCCGCATGCCTGGATTGTAGTTTAGTGTCCGCCGGGGTCCATCTAATCAACCACCGGGAAGTACGCACTTTTAGAAAAACTTCTGAGGGCCCTCCCGCCACGTTTCCGTTAAATATTGAGGGTGTTCCCATGGAGTTTGGCCGTATTCTATTCGATCGCGTTCAAATTTTTACCAGCGATCAGACCCGTAAAAACGATGTACAGCCGAATTTTCCAAGCGAAATAGTGTCACAAACAAGAAAGATACAACCTGGAGAATCGCGGTGAAATCGGGAAAATAACCCTTCATTTTTGCCGCTAAAATTCGGCTGCACATGTTTTTTATGGGCCCGCGACTCTGGTAAAATTCGGAGCCAATCGGATGGAAGACGGCCAAATGCCAAGGGACACCTTGTACAGGGTGTCCCAAAAAAAAACCCCCCCTCGGCATTTGGCCGTCTTCTATCCCATCGGGACCAAATTTTTACCAGTGATGCGGACCCATAAAAACTATGTGCAGCCGAATTTTCTAAGCAAAATACTATAAAACAAAAAAGTTATATCAAATCCATTTTTGAACTACGTCGATTTTTCTTATTTTCACCAGTACTGACTGATAGCTTCCGTGCCACCCCCGCCAATCTCTGTCTCTCCAGTCTGATGGCCAAAATTGACGAAAGTCTTCCTACGTTGATCCGCAACGCTGATTTAAGAAAAAGAAAATCACGCCCTGTGATCTTTTCTGACCACTTTAACCCAGCGAGAATCGGAGGCCAAACCCCAATCATATAACTTTTTTGTTTTATAGTATTTTGCTTAGAAAATTCGGCTGCACATAGTTTTTATGGGTCCGCATCACTGGTAAAAATTTGGCCCCGATCCGATAGAAGACGGCCAAATGCCGAGGGGGGGTTTTTTTTTGGGACACCCTGTATATATTTCAGAAATTGGCAAGTAATCGATGAATCTGGTGAGCCAAGAAATCCAGCGACGACTCGATCTCACGACTATTCCACCCCAACGCATCGATGGCAAAGGTAATCGTTTCGCGATTTTTAGCCCCGTTTGAGACGCGGCAATCCTGGTGCTGTTGCGTGGACAGGAGATTGCCAAATTGGAGGTGTTGCTGTGTGTTCGGTCGATGAACATGCGCAAACACCCAGGAGAGGTCTGTTTCCCGGGCGGTATGTGGGAGCCACAGGATAGCGATTTGCAGCAAACGGCTCTTCGGGAGGCACATGAGGTATTTATAGTCAAACCAGGGTTTAAAAGCCGCTTCGCGACTTTTCAACCCTGGCCCCGTCAAACGCTATGATATCCCTCGCTTTGCATAAACCTTCCGCACTTTTATGTGACAAAAATGAAAAGCGTGTCCTCTCCCCGATTATATAGGCTACTCCCACTTTCGGCGTATGCTAATTTTTCCCTAACAAAGAGGGTGTCCGAATTTAAGGAAAAACTTAAGTTTAATGTTGAAAACAATCGAATTGCAAAATCTGATATGCGTGCAGTCATCCATTACGCGTCTAATGACGTATCATACGCCTGCTTCATCTTCACTATTTTTTATATGTAGTAGGATCCTGCCTTATATAATTTGGTCGCGTATCTTCGTGTGTGTGTGTGTGCGGAGGTCACTTTCGAGGCCCGATTCGAGGGCTTTCCCGTGTCCAAAACGCCCCAATTCTCCGTCACGCGGGGGGAATCGACCCTCCTCTTATCGATGACGTTTTCAGAAGCCCGATAAGCTACAATTTTACAAAGTTAAAGCCGGTTTTATTCAATTTTGCGGGTCCGGGATGGCTAATTTGCATGTGTCCGCAGGACCCGAACTATCCGAAAGTCAAATTTCTCATGCAAAGGCCGCATTCCAGGGCCCAAGGCCCGCGAAGCGGGTTTTGGGCGCTGGTATACTAATAGTAATAAAGGCTAAGTAAGCGACCATTGCAGGAGACGGGCTTGGGCCTCGACCATTTCGAGCTGTTGGGCTCGCTGCCGAGCTTCCGCTCCCGATTCGGCGTTCTCGTCCATCCGGCCGTGGCTCTTTGGAGGTGGGACGAAGAATAACTATCAACAGTCAAATTCACCTCTGACCCGCGGCTTGGAAAAATTCTCTTAGAAATGGAGCGCCATGGGAGCCGCAGCTGAATAGTGCTGAGGTGGAAAAGGTAACTTTTTCACCCCTGGACACGCCCAATTGTCTTTTCAGGTTTTCTGGCAGCCGCTGCACGATTTTCTCGATAAATCCATGCACAGCAGCTACGTCTGGGATAATGTCTACACGGTCCATTCATTCGATGTAAGCTCACGCGCGGCACAATTCCTGATTTCCGGTTTCCAGTTTGCTGAGGCGCACTGCTACGGCTTCACTGCGTTCATCGCCGTCGTTGTCGCAATGTGGGTTTAACCGTCTTCGTACTATCGGCGGGGGGTACACAACTTTTTTCCTCAAGGTCCGATTTTGCTAATTCGATCTTCATACATTTTTGCCTAATATAATTTTTGCCTAAAAAAATAGTGTCTGTGTGTGTGCCACTTTGCATGCAACTTCCGTCAGGCTGTCCGGAGGATATCTCAAGGAGGAAAGGGTATTAGGCTACGTATGATACGTCATTAGGTGCGTAATGGCCACGAGATGACTGCACGTATATCAGATTTTACAAAATTCGTAGTTTTCGACATTAAAATTATGTTTTTGTCGTAAAATCGGGTACCCTCTTTGGTAGGAACTAATTTGCATAGGCCGGAAGTCGCGGGAGCCTATATAATGAGCGAGAGCGTGACATTTTTCATTATTCGCATCAAAATGGAGAATCGTAGACAAGTATGCAAAGTGAAGGATAATGGGGGTTTGACGGGGGCAGGGTTGAAAAGTCGCGAAGCGGCTTTTCAACCCTGGTTTTTGCCTAAAACACCAATAAAATTCGCAAATTTTTATAATTTTTTATGATGTTTTGAAATCCAAAAACTGGGCATAATGCTATAAAAATGGTTTATATTTTTTCATCGGTCGTATTAAGGAAAAATGAGTTTCCCCTGCTAACAGTCTGGTACGTAACACGTCCTCCGATAATTCCAGGGGAGCGTTATTTCTCTTTGGAGCGTTCTCGCCATTTTTAGCCAATACATAATGAAACGTAGGCATTTATACCCGGTTAAGGTGTGCCTTCGACCGAGTGCCAGATTTCGATCTAAGCGAGGCTTTCACCGCCGAAATCATGCGTAGCGTCGGCACGAAATCGGTGGTGGCCGCCATCTTCAGGTGGGTATTTTCCATTGCTTTTCCGGTACTTCAGTATTCGCGTGGGGGGGGGGGGGGGGGGGCAAGTTTTTGCCCATCGTCCAGGTTGGCCTAGTAATCAAACGTGTTTTTTTAAATAACTTTAGTGAGTTTCAGCTATATTTACAGTATAATGGCCCCGAGATGACTGCACGCATATCAGATTTTGCAAATTACGCTATTTTCGACATTAAAATTAAGTTTTTGTTGAAAAATTGGCGGCCTTCTTTGTTAGGAAATAATTAGCATAAGCCGGAAGTGGCGGCAGTCTATATATAGCGCGAGAGAGCGGTGTTTTTCTTTTTTTCACATCAGAATTCGAGAGACGTATTGTAAGCGTCCCCGCATTTAACTATGGCCGATCCTATGTTTACGCCAAGTGACCGTGACCTTGACCCGCGCGCATCCCTAATCCGCCCCCACCCTAGCTAGGGAGGCCGCTCCCTTGCTCGTCACTTGGTCTTGGAGCAATGTAATATCGATGCTCTTCAAGACGAATAAAACATCTAAAGTGCTATGTCATCATCATGGAATCCGCACTAAGCGATAGTACATTCGATCGTTTATACAGGGTGTCCCAATAAAAAAGGTCACGCTGGCATTCCGCCATTTCAAATCTGATTGACATGAAATTTGGAACAGAGCCGCGGAAGGGAATTTAGAATGTTCACAGAAACTTTCAGCCCGATCGGTACAGTAGTTTTCGAGTTATAACAAAATAAACTTTATTTTACGTTTTTTACCTGGATTTCGCCGGAATTGAGTCTTGGAATGTATCGCAAAAATGAAGCGCCGACCCTTTTTTACTTCAGAAAATTTTTTATTTCATAAAATTCGTCTTGGAAATAGGTTGTTTAAGTAATTTTAACAAGGTGTCATCAACCCCGATGTTAAGAAGAATAAGGGATTTAGGGCCAAAATTGATGTTAATTGATGCAAAGTCCAAAAAGATAGCCGAAAAAATGAAGCAAAAGTGTTGAAAAAACAGTATTTTTGCTGTAACTCGAAAACTACTGTACCGATCGGGCTGAAAGTTTCTGTGAACATTTTAAATTCACTTCCGCAGCTCTGTTCAAAATTTCAGGTCGATCGGATTTGAAATGACAAAATGCCAGCGTGACCTTTTTTATTGGGACACCCTGTAGTATGCAGAGTGAAGAATATGATGCGTTTAGACGGGGCCAGGGTTGAAAAGTCGCGAAGCGGCTTTTCAACTCTGGTCAATGAGTTAAAAATGCAAAAAACCGCGTGCTAATGATATAAAAAACATAGTGATTTGAAAAAAATTGCCCCCCGAATACTCAAGTCCTGCTTTTCCTCCATTGTAATGCCCCCCGGCAATTCTCCAGAATCTGCGGCCAGCCCATCGAACATCACGAAAAACTATACAAAGAGGCCAAATTATAAAAGCGGCGTTATGGGAAAACAGTTTTAGCGTGGCTGCCCTGCCGGCCGATCAGCGGAATGCCCACATTCGTCTTAATAAATTGTAATTAGTATTCTTTTGCCCTTTTTGCCCCTTTATACATCATTTGAACGGTATTGCAAGCAAATAAAAACAAATATAATCCGCTTTTAGTTATTGCAAACAGGCATAATATGTTGAAATACAGATATTAAAATTAAAAAATCACTTTATAGGAATTAACGCGCCAGCACGTCGACACGGCGCCGCAAGGCCCGCGTTCGTTCGGCCAGTGAACTCATCTCGGTGACGAGATGGCGGATCAACGGCACGTACTTCTCCATACGGCACATCTGCAAGAATTTCGGGTACCAGTATACTTTTTGGGGGGCAAAAAATTTTTCGGCCAAAATGTCTCATTTTCGATTATTTTGTTCCATTTTTCGTGCTGAATCCAACGCAAGTGTTTCCAGATTTTTCATATAATGTTTTCTAGTAATAATTAACTATTTATGTTAAAGTAATTTCAAGAGTCTTTCAGTAGTATACCGTAGCACAAGCCGCAGATAAGCCTAAGCCTAACCTGAGCCTAAGCCAAAGCCTGAGCTTAAGCCTAAACTTGAGCCCAGGTCAAAGTTTAAGCCTAAGCCTAAGCATGCGACCCATTCTTCAAGTTTTGGTCGCATGTAAAGGAGCTCCACCCCCTGCGAGTAATTGTTATTGTTGCCTAATTGTTATGTTGTTGCAATGATCAAATAAAATATCTGGATACTTGCATTCGATTAAGCATGAAAAACTGAAAAAACTAGTGTAAAATGAGAAATTTTGGCCGAAAAAAATTTTTGCCCCCCCCCCCCCAAAGTATACTAGTACCGAATTTCGCTTTAAAAGCAAAGTGACCATAAAGCGCTCAAATTCGGGACCGCTGTGCTGCGGCACGCTTCGGCGGCACAAGGCGTAAACCCACGATTTGTTGTCGTTTTTGTAGCTCGACCTCGGTCTGCAGCCCCGCTGCCAGATTTTCGGCGATCTGATCCTGTGCTAGCCTAAATTTGTTTCGTTAAGTTGGATTCCCAGTCCAAAGAATTTCGTTCTTGCGCGATCCTCCGTTTTTGCGCAAATGAAACAGAATTTAGCAGAAATGGCAACGGGCTCGGCCCCAAAAATTAGCATGCAGGCTTATGCTTAGGGGCCGGGGCTTTGCCTTGCTCGAAGGCCATTCGCGAGGCGAAGGCGAAGAATAATTTAGCGGAGATTCGCGGAAAGTAGATCTATTAAAAGCCAATCAGAACCTGCTGAGAACTGTGTTTCAGTACTTTTCGAACATACAATCTATTATTCATCAGCTCCAATTAATTTGATCAGGACCGATGTCTTAACTGAACCAAAGCATATGCAATTTTCATTTAAAAGTTGCGTAGTCACACCCGAATTTAGACACAAACGAGCAGTTTTTGTATCCGGGGCCATGACCGGCCCCGCAAAATTTGGTCGAGCCCGGGCCGGCCTCGCGAATTTGCATATTGTTCCGGGGTCCGGAAGTCCACAATTTTTTATGGAAATTTAGATTCCCGGCCACTCGGATTCACGGATTCCCGGCCGGACAGCAGATTTTTAGATTCTGGAAATTAGATAAAATTTTTGTGAGCTATTGGAGTTGGGGGCGGGGGGATTTTTAGGCTAAGCTAACCAAGCCAAGCATAGCCAAAGCTTAAGCTAGGTCTAGGCTAAGCCAGAGCCATGGATAGGCTCAGCATAAAGTAGGCTAGGCCTAGACTACACCTAAGTTAAGCCAAAATCGAGGCCTAAACCCAGGACTAGCAAGCTAAGCTAACAAGGCTAAGTCTATTCAACTTGTAAGCTAAGTCTATTCAAAGCAAAGCTAAGTCCAAACCTGAGCTTCTCATTCAAAAAATTTTGTGGTCCGCCCCAACTTCAATTGCCCCAATTTGTGGGTCCCAAAACAACAACGTTTCTATTTTTAAAGCCTTTTCTTTTTCTTACTACCGACCGGATCTCTTCAAGAAGCGCTTCTAGCCGTCCGCCTTCCAGTTGAAACCTTTCCATGTATCGTTTTGTGTTGTGTTGTTGTGTCCTTTGCAAATCGTGTTCTAAATCTATGGTATTTTCATTTTTACGGTTTTTTTCACAACAACAAATATCTCTTATGGCCGAATCCGAGCGTTTTTTGATCCGTTTAAAGTGCTACATTTATTTCATACAAATTGATCGGCAATCGGCGTGACATATTTATGTACAAAGGTATAAGTAATGGTGCTTTCTCTAGGTTCGATGACTTTTGATGTGCACTTTCACGTTGTCCTTCCGCGCAATCGATCGCCCACAAATCGGGCACTCGTGCTTCTTTTCGCCTGAAATTTGCGTGTTTGTATACTGCGAGGAAACGGGTTAGTCAAAAATTACCTGTATGTATCATGCGATGTCGTCGCAATGTTGAGGCATCGGCAAAACTACGGCTGCATGTCTCGCACTGAATCGGTTAGAATCAACAAAAATTGAGGGGAGAGAGAGAGAGATAGAGAGAGAGAGGGGGGGAGAGAGAGGGAGACAGACCGAGAGATTTTTCCACCAACCGTGAAAGGCTTTTCCCCGGTATGCGTGCGCAGATGGGCCTTTATCAGATGCCGTTGCCCTCGTTTCCCGCATCGCGTACATGAGTAAATCTAGAACAACCCAATCTTTGGTATTGTACTATTAGCGGGGGGCTTTAGCAGGGGGAAAAACCACTTTTTGTCTTCGCAGTAATTATCCATTGCTAGAAAGGTATAAAAAAATATCCTTAAAATAGCTGAAAATTCTATTTTGACCTTTTTTGACCACGTTTTAATCAAATCAAATCAAAGACCACAAACAATTATTGAGAAAAATAAAAAAATTTCCGAATATTTCTGATGAGTTTTTATGAGTTCTTTATATCCAAAAACCAGTGGAAAAAGACCGCTTCGCGGCCCTTTTCCACTGGACCTCGTCTAGGAATCATGAATTCCCTTTCCTATTATTGAAACCTGCGGCGCAAGAGCCTGACTCAAGGAACCATTCATTTGCCTGCGGCGCTAGCTACCGATTTTTCGCTCGGATTTAGCCTGCGGCGCGAAAGCGCAACCTTTTCTTTGGCCTGCGGCGCCAGAGCCAGCGTTGCGTTAGAATCTCTGAGCCTGCGGCGCTAGTTACTGGTTTTTCTCCAGGATTTGGCCTCCGGCGCGAGAGCGAGGGCCAGGCCTAAACCTCGCAGGGCCTAGCAAAATGTTTTGTCGTTGAACTCTCAAAAGACAAAAAGTCAAACTCGGCGCAGATTCGAACCCCGGACCACGCGCTTGTTAGACCGGGCGCCAATCCACTACACCACGGGGCGATGGGGATGGGCGGCGGGAAAGCCCTCTTCTGTCCCGGGGGGCGGGGCATCCCGTGAGGGGGGACTTCTGGTAACTTTACAAAATTCTCTTTTTGAATCTAAATGCGCCGAAAATTTGTAAAAATAATAAGACACGCGTGATCCCCACTATCGAATACATAAGTGGACAAAATTACAGCCCAAAATTCCATCTGGGATTCGAGTTATGGCCCGGACACCACGGGACTGTGGCCATTTTATTAAGGACCTTCTAGTAAATTGCTCATAAAAACTTTATTTTAAGGAATTTGGCAAAATCCAGAAAATAGTATCGGGAGAATTGTTTCTTCCATTCACCCTCCAAAAATCAGCGCCCAACTCCTCTTAGCGGCCGAGAAAACCTCTGGACTAACCTTTTTTCAGCGAAATGTTAAGGATTTTTCACTATTTTGGTTATAAAATCGTCAAATGAAGGAATTTCGCAAAACAAAAAAATGCATTACTGACAAATGTGTTTCTCCACCTCCATGCCAAAAATCAGCTCGACATTCGGCCTGACGTCCGAGAAATCGGCTGTACAGAAAACAGACATACTTTTCTCGCTTATAGGATAGGATATGTAAAATGCTATCAAAAAAGTTTGATATTTTGTTATAGGACCGTAGCGGATTACTGGCAAAATTTGGTTTCTCCCGCTAACAGCCCCGCAGAGGGAGTGTAGCTGATAGCTGACCCCAAATTTCGGGAGGAGCAGCGACATTTCGGAGAGGGCAGCGAGAAAAATTTTTACGAAAAAATCCTCAAATTAAATAGAATCATTAGGGGGGACCATTACTTTTTTTCGGGACCGCCGGATTTCGGGAGGGGCAGCGTGCCCCTCTGCCCTCCCCCTACTACACCCCTGGCCCAGTACCAAAAACCTGCTAACCTTATTGGAATGTTGGCGAATATGCTGCGACAGATCGGGCAGTTGCTCTTCAGACGGGCACGCGCTAAATATCGATCGATTTTTCATCCGCTTCCGTTTTTTTGGCGAATTGTAGATCTTCGATTTCTAACCCACCGACAGCTCTTGTTGTGCTGGTCGACGTGGTTTTGCAGGAAATGCTTTTCCATTTGTTGCTGGTCGGGCAGTTGCACGTTTTCCGGGCACAACGAGCAAATGATCCGTTGAGCGATCCCTGCAATTCATTCGCATTTTGAGCACCGAGAAAATGGTTTATTGTTTCGGGCACCGTTTTTTGTTTAAAGTCCCTAAACGTAAAATCTCTACAAATTTTGACTGAAATCAAACAGAAAATATTCAAGTAACGAATTAAAAAGACCATAAAGAAAATAAAAAATAGCGAATTTAATATTAACTAATAATTTTGTTACCAACTTTTCTGAAAATTTTAATTCCCAAAGCAAAGTTAATTCCCGTTTTTTTTCAAATAAACACAGAAAACAACGATTTTACGGTCAAAATTTGAAATTTCCAAGCATTTCGGCCAATATTTTTTTAACTTACCATGTTTTTGAAAATTTTCTGAAAAGGTTTTGCACCTAAAAAGTGGCTAAATTTTATCAGAATCACCATTAAATGCTTGAATTAGAGGTAGCTAGATTTTTTGAAAACGAACCTATCAAAATCTGTTTGTCGGACTGGCCGCCATCGAGAGGGTTGAATGAAGGCAGCACGTCGGATGTTGCGGGAGGCAGCGCTGGTCCGGAAGTGTCGATCCCCAAACATAGCTAAAGCTCAACTAGCCAAGGGGACTCAGTAGACACTACCTGCTGTCCGCTGGAGCAATTCGGAGCGCCTAGAGGCGCTTCTTTCCCATCTTCGGGCCGCGAACAATCCAGCGGATTACCTCTGGGAAATCCTTGTGGTGGATGAATCCAAGACTTACGGGTGGCGATCAGTGTGTGACTGAGTGTGGTCACGCAGAAGACCACGCAAGAACAGAATCTCCTCGTCGCGAGTCTGGCAGAGGTTTTCCGCTCGGATACGTTGCCCATTCTCGTCCGCCAGCCGCTCCTGCACCCGGTACAACTCGTGGGACAACCCTGCGCTTTTCCTCTAAAAATTTTGAGGGTAAAAAAGAGCCGGACGCGCATTTTCCCTCGTGGATTTCGTGGAACTGGCTGAGAAACAAGAGCAACGTACCTTTTCGGTTTCAAGCATTTCGCGGATTCGCAAAACTTGCTCGGCAAGTGTTGGCACGGCTAGAGGGATCGAGAAATGCCCAATTTCGTCAACAACGTATAGGAATTCCGGTCCACCTTGTCGACACTCGATTCGCAAGGGCCTAAATTGGAGATTTTGACGTTTGACTTCTCGAATAGCGTTTTCCCTCTGGTGCATTCTATAGAAACTCTTAGGAAGTCTTCCAAACCCGGGTTCTTTCGCATCATCGGGGCCCAACTTTTTTAAAAACCATAGTGAAACTGTTTTAAACGGGTTTTTGCTATTCTTAAACGTGCAAACTTAAAACGTTTTTATTCAAAAAGATCAAAAACATGATATCAAAGATCGGCGATATGTTACCAAAATTTCGACTTTTCAAAACGCTTAGTTTTTAGATAGTGTTTCTTTGAAATATAGTTATATTCAAGTAAAAACACCATTAAAACACTTTCTATCAAGTTACTAGGCATTTCCAGACTTACAAAAAGTAGACTACTATCAAGGACATACCGGATCAGTGGACTATCAAACATCTGCCGGATGCGCCGCTTCATATCGTCCGCCAGCTCAGCGACAAAAAACACATCCGCGTCGTCGGGCGAGGAGAGGCGTAACGAAGTCTAAAACCGAAGATTAAATTTCCACAGAATCTTTACCTGTGAAAGCGGAACGACAGCGTTCGATGGGAGACTGGCGCGCAGCTCCAGCTCCACGGCAACGATCCTTTAATGTAACTACCCTCAAAAATATTGACCATAGCAGCCAAATTATGCTGCAATCTGACTGGCCGTAGATGCCCCTTCCTCTCACCTGTTGTGAAAAAGGGCATCAGGTAAGCATATTCGTAGCAGAGACATCGGGCCCGGGCGCACGCTCGTCGACTGTTCCATCATTTCTCTATCGATCCCGGGCGAAACAGGGCTGTCATAAACTATTTTGCGATAAGCGCCATAATCGACAATGGGTGGGTAATCGAAAGCGGGTAGCGCGCAAAGGCACGTTGTGCGGAGGGGTACCTTGTAGCCCAATCTTGGCGAATCTGCCCCCGGTGAATCGAGATGGTGATTCAAATCCGCCGGGGGTTTTTTCGTTTTGTGGATCAGCGGTTTCCCATCTCAATTTTCCACGGTTTCTGGGAAGTTTAACGCGTTGAGCTCGAATTTCTTACCTAAAACCAACCTGCCATTTTGTTTTTCGAGCTCAGGACGTTAAGTGGCCCCTGGTATCCCTGAAAAACGGTGCAAAATTCGTGGAAAAACAGAAGTGGATCCACTAAACCAAAACAGCATCAATTCCGCTTCCGCAAGTTTTCTATTTCTGTTTCGATAAAGGCCATAAATAATTCTAATTTTCAGCATTACGGGCACCAAAAACGACAATCTCACGCGAACAAGCCTTGGATAATTGACGAGCGGGCCGGGGATGTGCTAGAATGTCGGCGAATCAAGCGCAGGAGATTGAGGCCAGAGTGGTGAGCCTCTTCTTCAGCGTATCTTGTTCCAGAATGGAAGCTAAATCCGTGTATTTTAGCAGCACGGTGCAAAGACGGCTCGCGAGACGATCCCTCGGATTCGGCAGTTGATACAACATCAGCTTGTGGGTTTTGAGGCTCTTACCGTTCTAAAAAAGTACATGGACAAATCTAGATGAAAACGAACGTAGAAAATTTATTATATTCGGACCTGCAGCAACTCATTTAGTCGTACCATGATGTGAAGCGCGTCTTCTGGGAAATGTGCAGCCCGGCACCGGAGAATGATGAATATCTCGTCGTCACGATTTGCGAGATTGTCGGGAAAATGAACAAGGTAAGTGTTACAAAATCAGAACTTACAATTTTGGTTCTTTAGCATTAGCGGGGGGACGTCGTAAAATTTAAAAATGTATGGTAACTTGATAGCAGGTATTTTAATAGTGGTTTTAGTGAAAAATGATTAATTTCTAAGCAAAACTTTCTATAGACTTGTAAAATGTTGTTATTTTTCTCAAAAACCGGCCATTTTTGGTCGAAAGCTCGGGATTTTTGATACGTTTAAAGAAATTTTTTAAGCTTGAGTGGTTGTAAAAATCATTTAGAAACGACCGAAGAAAAAGTTGTCGCCCTATAATGCGAAAGAAACACATTTTTCTAGGAGGAGAAAATGATTGCTGTTTCGGATATGACACAGCTCGTGATGGAGGACTACGAATATCGAATGGAAAAGGAGGTGTTACAATTTGCATTCAATAAATGCCAGCTTTTCAGTTGCTGGTCGATAAAATCTTCAAGAAAGCCTGGGAGCGGGGGGATATTTCAGCAAAGTAAGTGTCTGCTAAATACACAATCGCCTACATTTAGCCTGTGCTTTGAGGGATTGGCCATTACTGGCGATTTCACGATGCAGACGCCGCTCAACTCGCAGAAATATGCCTGGATACGGGTAAGGATTTCTTTCAAAACTCTACAGCCATCAGTTTTAGTTAATTAACAACTCTTCATTTCGAACCTTATTTTCGAATTTAAAAACATTAATCAAACTATTAATTTAGGACAATCTCGATGCGATCGACTACAAGGGCGTTCGGACGCTTTTTGGAAAGCTGGTGAGGGCGACAGGGCGTCTTCCGCAGGTGCTTTCACCGGACCAACGTCGTAGTCTGGTGCCTGTCGAAGAAGTGGGTCATGATTTTGAACAATTATTGGTACTGGGCTGTTATAATATTATTTTCTGCACTAATCGCGTATGGCCCCATAACGAATAATTAACCATTTTTATAACATTGACGCATTGGCTTTTTTACGCACTACGAACTTTCGAAAATTTTTCCAAATAATTTAAAAACTTTCGGGTCAAAGATGTATGCAAGTGCTTTTTAAGTATTGTTTTAGAGGTTGCTAGCAACGACAATTAGAATCTAAAAGCGCTGCAAAATACATTATATACCAGGGTTGGAAAACCGCTTCGCGGCTTTTCAACCCTGGTCCCGTCCTCAATTTGCATGCTTTTGAGAAATTATCCCTTCTTCGCCAAAAGGAAAAAAGTGAAAACGGCGCCTCTGTCACTTTATGTAGGCCATTCCCCTTCCGGTGTATGCTAATTCTTTCCTAACAAAGAAGGTGGCCAAGAATTTTACCAAAAACCCAATTTTAATAACAAAAATCCTATTTTTGTAAAAGTATAATATGTCGGCACGCGTCCCCGGTCCATTTTGCACCTAATGACATCTCTTCTCTTTCCGCAAAAAGGCTTCTCCGGGGCTGTAGATGTGAGACAACCTCACGGAAGTTGCATGCAAATGCACACACAGAGACACTATTTTTTATATATAGTAGGATAGGCGAAAAAAAGTAAAAAATCCGCCCCCCCCCCCCCCTCCGCGCCAACATTCCAGCACCCGATCATTTATCACCTCAACGTCTCCAGATTCTACTCCATATCATGGACCGTCGAAACAATTGTCTGCCCTCGCTCTTTGTGATGAGCGAATTACAGCGGGATACTTCCAAATTCTTCGTGCTTCCGGTGAGTATAATCAGTTTCTACCGGGTACATAAACATAGCGGGTGGGGGGGGGGGGGGGATAAAATAACCGGAGGGAACTTTCTTATTTCCAAGAGTTTAAGTAACTGTGGTATTTAGCAGCAAGCCAGATTTTCTAATTTTAGGATTGACCAGCCCAATGTAAGGTAGTAGTTTTGGAGCAAATGAGCCAAATGCCTTCGATGAAGTTCCGAAAAATATGCTTTTCGCGGGAAAACGCAAAAATCCCGACAACAAAATCCCGACAGCCAGAAACCCCAGATTTTAAAAACATTTATGGGTAAAACGGCCGGACTTTTCACATTTTAGCTGTCGGGATTTGAATGTCGGCATGTTGGCCTGTCGGCATTTTGGCTGTCTGGATTATGGCGGGAATTCTTGAACGCGAAAAGCCAATTTCAACACTAATTCAAATCTATTACAGCGATTGGCCGCCGCAGCGACCCGTTTCGAGAACAGCTACCGCCCAACAGCCGAATTGACGCAAATCACCGGAAGGCCATTTCTGTTCCCTCTGCCCGGCCATCCGATGTACACCTACAGCGCGCCGGCGTGGCGAATCACACCCGGTGATACGCACATTGCGCCCAGGGCCCAGCTACCCTCCCGAATCGAATTCTGCGAACCGCAATCGTACACCGTGTATGCCATACGGAAACAGCCGCGCGTATTCCGCGACCAGGTGCGTGCTTTTCTAGAAATCTACGTAAAATTCAGCGATATTTAGTGTTGCCGAGGGGATCCGGATTTGTTTCCCACTAAGCAGTATTTTAAGATATTTTGGTACTTTCGCATGATCGTGGGGGGGGGGGCGTCAACTTTTTTTTTGTACAATTCTAGAAATGTCTAATAGCTTAATAGGAAGTGTTTTAATAGTGTTTTGTAAAATATAACCATATTTCACTAGCAAAACTGATTGGACACTTTTAAAAAACTTTTAAAAAGTCTAAATTTGGTAAAAAGTCGGTCATTTGGTCGAAAAAACAACATTTTTAAATTGTACAATCAAAATTTGTAAATTTTCACGTTTAGGAATGGTAAAAAACCGTTTAGAAACACTTACACTCTATATATTTAGAAAATTGGATCCAAAAAAATTGGTCCCCCGATAACACGAATGCACCGAAAATCCTTTTAGAAGCTTTAAAAATCGGACATTTTGGAGAAAATCGGCTACTGAGGACCGGAAATTTGCGATTTTTTATGAATTTTTGAGCAAATAAAGCCGAAAATCCTTATTATAACGTTGCTAGGTTCATTTCTGAACTTCTAGGTGATGATGTGCTTTCGAATGGTGCGCTCGGAACACGGGAATAAGGCCGAATTCACGACAATCATCGCGAAACTCGTGCTGGACGCGCTGGCCGAGGCAGAGGCGTTGTCGCCCGATGAGGAACTCCCGCGATATCAATGGGAAAATATACACCATATCGTGGCCCAGGAGATGCAGCTGCCCACACCGCAGGTTCCCATTTTAGCGTCTATCTTTAGTATTTTTGTAAAATAATAACGGGATAAATATTTTAGATTAGTACGCAGACTCTGCTGCATATTTTGGCCGGCGTCATCAAGAAGTCCGGGTTTCGTAGAGGGCTCGGTGAGCTGAAGTGGCTTCTCCTCCAGGTAGACGCCGTCAATAATCGGCCCTTTCGTATTATCGGGGAGGGGGGACAAAGTTTTTTCTAAGGATCGGATTTTTCAAATCTGAATAGTGGAATTTTATAAGCTGTTTTTAGTATTCCTTAACGTATAAGTAATTTCGACCAAAAATGGAAGATTTTTGACCAACATTTTCGACTTTTTCAAACGTTTAAAAGTTTTCTGGATAGATTTTCTAGTTCAAATCGAGCTAAATTTTCCAAAAAAAAACACTAATAAATTAGCTCCTATTAAATTACAAGACTTTTTTTACTTCCTCCCGGTAAACTAACAATAAAAACTAATGCATCAAGACCGGCTCTAGCAATCCAGCTAAAGATAAAAAATTTTTAGATTGCGACACTCTCGAAAAATATCGAGGAGTTGATGGGGGATGTGGTGAAGCTGTGGGAGGCGTGTCGAGACCCTGGGGAACCAGCATTCACTGCAGCATCCGATCACCCAGCCCGCATGGTGAAATACCTGGCCGCTGCCTCAATGTGGCTGTATTTGGAAGGTCGAAAGATTCCGGACTTCCAAATGCCAGCAGATGATGATCTCCATCAACAACTTCGCTTCGTACGGCAGGAATGGCCGCAGAATGCAGGCGGTGCCGGTGGAGACGGACTGATGGCCGTGTGTCTGAATACGCAGCGAAATGAATCGCCGCTATTCAAGGAAATGTACCATAAGGTATGTGTGCGCTTTTTCCTATTGGTCAGGTTGGCCTAGCTTTTTATATTGTCTTGGTTCTTTCGTAACACCGGAGGGGACCAATTTTTTTCGATCCGATTTTTCAAATATAAACAGTTTAAGTGTTGCCAAACTGTTTTCAGCTACCCCTAAACCTAAAAATTTTGGACGTAAAAATTAAATTTCTACCTAAAACACAATTTTTAGTCGAAATTTTTAGAGGTTTTGTCGTCAGGAATATCTAAAAACAATGTATAAATGAAAAAATATTTTTCCCGCAAAAATCCCTAAAAATTGCAGTTCGTCACGGGCCCCGGGCAACCAGACACGCCGTTTCTGCTCAGCTACGGGCGGCAGGCGGTTGCAAAGCTCGAGCCATGGTCCGTCGAATTCTTCGATTCGTTGACGCTGCGTGCAAAGACGCTGGCCACTTTCCAGTTTGTGCAGCTGTTCACCAGCCGGCAGCCACGACCCGATCGAGTTCAAAGCCCCGCACTCGTTGGTCAGCACTTTTTGTATTAATTTGTATTATAGAAGAGCGGGCGTCTCGTAAAGTACAGGCACGTTGTGGCTATAACGGTGCTGTCGCATTAACGGGGGGAGGGTGGGGGGCTCCCCGACACTTGCGGCGCGACATTTGCGGCGCGACACTTGCGGCGCGACACTTGCGGTGCGACGCTTGCGGCGCGACACTTGCGCCCGACACTTGCGGCGCGACACTTGCGGTGCGACGCTTGCGGCGCGACACTTGCGCCCGACACTTGCGGCGCGACACTTGCGGCGCAGCATTCATTATTTTTAAATGTTGTAAACTTAGCATTTCTTCACGGATTTCTTTTGTAATTGTAATTGTTGGATTTGTGTTCAAAATTAGCATTTTAACCGACCCGCAATCGGAAAGCCGCGTCAGGCAAGGTGGGCCGTCGCTTCGGATGGGCTGCCGCTCCACTCTTTCTAAATCGGGGCGCCTGGGCGCCTCGCGCTCCTCGGGCGCCCCGATTTAGAAACCCTGTACGAGCTCGCACCCATCCGAAGCGACTAGGCCCCGGGTGGCACGAAGCCTTTTTTTAGTCGCAGAGCGGAGGAAGTAGCGGCCACTTCCCCTCCAAATTGAGTGACTTCGGTCGCAAACCCGACTTTTTATAACTTTTTAATACCAAATTCGGATGCAGCTTATCAAATAACACCTTAAACTATTTTTATATAGCTTATACTAAATAACCGCAAGGTCGCGCCGCAAGTGTCGGGCGCAAGTGTCGCAGCCGCAAGTGTCGCACCGCAAGTGTCGCAGCACCCCCCTGCTTACAGTCCGGTACCGAAATGCGTTGTAGCGTCATCGTCATTATTTTTAATTCTGTTTTTAGTAAAATTCTAACTTTATTTCAAATGGGAACACTATCTCAAAAATGTTAAGAAGTCGAAATTTTGGCCGAAAAATTTTTTTTTGTATTTTTAATAAACTTTTCGAGAGTTTTTGCGTTTAGTGGTGGTGATACAAAAATCAGAATTCTATTTACATTAGAAAAAGTTAGATTAGAAATTAATCCGAAAATTTTGGTCGAAAAATCGATATTTTTTGTGTTTTTAATAAAATGTTCTAAAAATTTTTCAGAAAGCCTGGCATTGCTATTCGAATTGAGTGACCACGAGCGCGAGTACTATCTATACCTCAAGCTGTTCCCACAAACGGCACTATCCCTCGTCAGCCTACGCCAACAAGTGGATAGTCATGTGGCCGAGCAGTGCTTCATCCTCACCGAAATGGTCTCAATACGGCTGGCACGGTATTGGACTAGCCATGCAGCCCGTCAACAAGTCATCACCACGCTGCTCACCATTATCAACAAACCGGTCAGTTTATCGGTAATGGGCTGTTAGCGGGGGGGGGGGGGGGGGTTCCAAGCAACCTCGTAACTAATATAACGGACTTTACACCATTTTTATAGAATCTTACACAGTTTTTACATATAAATAGCTCAAAAGTAAATTTTCAAACTTTTCTGTCAAAAATGTATGCAAAATGTCGAAGAACGTTTTAAATATTTTAATTAAAATTAATAATAATAATAATAAATTAAGCATTTTAAAATATTTTTAGAACTTTCTAGGAAGTAAAAACTACCAAAAACTACAAAAATACATTATAGAAGATCACAAGGTATTTATAGGAAAAACTGTTTCTCCGCTAAACCTCCCCCGACCCACCGCTAACAGTCCAGCGCTAAAATCACTCCATTGAAGTGGAAAACCTTCAAAAAACACTTACAAGGAGTGCCTTTTGGGTGTCATCGGCAAAACCTTACGAGACCTAGCTCATTCCGATAGAGAATTCGATTCTAAACAAAACCCCGTTGTTCTTTTTTGCAGAATGGCTATCCCTGATTTTATAAAATTTTAAAACTGCACCCAAAAGCCTCTCTTTTGGCTCGAAAGACACTCATGGTAAGAGACGGTCACTAGTATTTTAATTTTATAAAATCAGGGATAGCCATTCTGCAAAAAAGAACAACGGGGTTTTGTTCAGAATCGAATTCTCTATCGAATAAGCTAGGTCTCGTAGGAATTTGCCGATGACACCCAAAAGGCACTCCTTGTTAGCTAATTTTTTAGTCGAAATTTTGTTCGAAAATACGCCGTTTTTGGTTGAAAATATATTTTTTTTTGTATATTTTCAACAAAATTTACGTTTTTACGTTGAGACATAGTAAAAAGCATTTCGGAAACATTTCTTATACAATTTATACTATAAAAATTGGGGTTAGAGTGCAGTTTACCCCCCCAGCCCAGCTCCTCACTCAGCCATACGTCCTATTAATGCGCCGAGTATCTCAAAATGTTCGCCGTGGTCAGGCCCGTACGAGGGGAGGGGGGGAGGGGGGCAGCCTGCCCCCCGCCCCGAAATCAAAATGTACCAAAATGTAGCTCTTGCTCTGTAGAATAAGCCTACAGTACGCTTGAGTCGGAAAAAATAGCGGAAAACAAAAATATTTGAGTTTTTAACTCCTGGTGCATTGATGCATAGCGGCTTAATCTTTTCAACTTTCAAAATCTTGTAAAAAGTTTTCTAACAATTTTTGCCGTAAGGAAACAACTGATTTAGAGGTTTTGGCCACGGCGAACATTTTGCGATACTCGGCGCATTAATAGGACGTATGGCTGAGAAGCTGGGCTGGGGTGGGGGTGCACTTAATCCAATCCAAAACCAAAAAAGCTGGACTCCCCGATAAGACGAAAGAACCGATATAAAAAGTAAAAACAGGGATATTCCGCGTGCTTGGGAAACCTGGGAGAGATTAATATGAAGAATAGCATAAAACTTCGATAATATTAGGTTGAACCGAAAGTAATTATAATCGAACTTCGGAATTTTCTTTCCAAACATTTTGTGGACCGCTACGGTTGTTTCTTTTTTCAATATATTTGTTCACTTCAATCGTAAATTGGATAAAAATTACAAGCTTCTAGCCCCAAGGATTTTTATTATTTTCGTGTTTTTGTCTGAGGGGTCTCAAATTTTAGACACCGAGATCTTTCAGAAGCGCCATAAAGTTATCATATGAAACAGATACTATCAAGATAATAAGTTCTCCCTACTAATTTAATGCCGAAATAAGCAAAAAGTAAATCGGAGCGGGTTAGCGAACATCGGGTCGTAGCGATGTTTCAATTTCTTGTAAAATTTCTTGTCTTGTAAAACAAACTGAAAAAATTCTAAAGTAAGCGGCTTGTGATCACGACCCACGGGCCGAATAGAGCATTTGATAGTGCATATGTCTATCGCAAAAACATTTTAATTCTAATCCGTTTTCGGGAAAGAAAGTATAAAAGAGTCAAAAATATTATAAGAACTTTCGGTCCAACCCAATATTACAGCCAATCTGCCAAACAGCACCGCTGTACTTTGCGCTCGAGCATCTTGTGATCCGGAGCTGTTGGTGGGTGCCGTGGAACGAGACGATGGCCGTCATCGGGCGCATCATGTGCAAAAGTAACGTGTGGCAGCATCTACTCGAGACCCACGGCTTCACCCACTTTTTTTTGCCGCCCTCCGGACCACCGCGGCCACCAGCTGAAGCGCTGCCCATCTGGTAAGAATAGAGGGCGCCCAAAAAAGTCATTTCTTCGTTTTACATCCGCTCAGTCCCAAAATTCGACTAGAAATGTATCAGACGCTAAATATCATAATCCGGTGTCACACACCCCTTAGCTACATCCTATAGCCGTAGCAAATTTAACTCAAGTCTTTCATCGGGGTTTCGTGGGAAGCGGCCTTGTCAATAGTAAGTAAAAATGGAGCTGCGCCCCTTCTCCCACAAATAATTTAGAACTGGCCAAAAAGGCTCAAAGGACACGGTAATTTAAGCGATTGTTACAACGCAACCATGTAGTAGATGGTCTTACGAAAAAAGAGGCACTGATAGCCGGAAGTCCATGAAAAGCCCAAAAATTTAAATTGGAAAAAGGCTCGAAATCGTCCGATGCGCAAATTTTTGCCTTTTCCTCCCTAAAAAGCCCCATAACAGTTTGGATCTGTAAGTTCCGCAGCCTTTGAAAACCAGAGCGCATTCTGCACAAGATAGGCTTGGTCCCGTACAGAAACTCGATTATCACTAGAACGTCTCCTTGTAAGGGAGCTAATTTTGAGTGAAATACGCCCTTGAAAACGCTGAGATTTCAGCCCGGAAGCGGTGCGCCTGCTCCTCACCAATTGGTTCCACGTCTTCAAAATCTCAGCACACGGCGACAACAAGAGGAACCAAACTGGAGACCCGCCAGAAGAAATCCTGAAGCAATTCCTCTACAAGTATCCCATGCCAAAGTCTCAATTCGCCGCATTCCCACCATTCATTCAAGAGGTTTGCCTTCTTCGTATGCTTTATATACTAACTCTCTCGGAAAAACAGCTAAATAAGTCATTTGATTCAATATATCCATTTACTTACCTCGGAACTGGTCACTTAGCGGGGGGGGGTAGCTATTAAGCATGTATAGCAAAATACACAACATATTTATAGAAAGCTCACAAAATATTCAACTTTCCGTAAAATTATCGAATTTTGGACGAAATGGATGAAAAATGACCATAAGGTCAAAATTTTCGAATTATCAACGATTTTTTATTTATTTTTATCAGCAATGAAAAAATACGAGAAAAATTATTAACATACAATAGTTAGTATTAACTCGTAGGTATATACGGGAAAGAAAAACAAAAATTAGTTGTCCCAGGTAAAAAACGGATAAGTTTCCTTGCTAACAGTCTACTACCTGATTTAATATATATATACCAGGGTTGAAAAACCGCTTCGCGGCTTTTCAACCCTGGCCCCGTCTTCTCCAATGATATTCTTGGCTTTGCATAATTTTCCCGGATTCGGATGACGAAAAATGAAAAATGCTCTTGCCGTCCCTTTATATAGGCTACCGCGACTTCCGGTGCACGCTAATTTGATCCTAACAAATTGGGGTGTCCGATTTTCCATGAAAAACTTAATTTTAATGTGGAAAACATCATATTTTGTAAAATCTGATATGTGTGCAGTCGTCTCTAGGCCATTACGCACCTAATGACGTATCGAACATATCCCTAAGTACTTCCCCTCTTGAGATACTACTGGAACACGGTGACGGAAGTTGCATGCAAATGCACACACACACACACACAGACACTATTTTTTTATATATAGTAGGATGCCTGTGTATGTATGCCTTACCCGATAATATACGATTCAATTCGACCTATTTTAGCTGAACGACACGCTGGATATGACGGCCTACAACGCGCAAAGCTACGAAGAGCACGGTCAGCTCGGCCACCGCGTCGGAGAGGACTTTATAAGGCTCAACGTACCGGACGTCGATGTCATCATTAATTTCTATCGCACCTGCAAGCAACAACCCAGCATGGTCAGTAGCTTAACCGTTATGCGGTTCTTTTGCATTATCGGGTGGAGGGACTCTGCATAAAGGTAAAGATGTTACAAATTTTGTTTACAAAATAGAAAATGTAATACAAAAAAAAATTGAAAGGAAAATGCGATTTTTCGATCAAACCTCACGTAACAAAACTCTTCTACGTTGTTTTTATCGTTTTCCACTTAAAATATGGTTAAATTTTACCAACTATAAGAGCTCGATTAAAAGACTTCCTACTGCGTTATTAGAAATTCCTGGGAAAAAGTTGTTCCATCTACGATGGTGCGATAGCACCAATTTTTCTAACATGAATAGCGAAAGTGTTTCCCAAATGCTGTTTACTATTCCTAAACGTAAAAACTAAACTACGTAAAACTTTTGGCTAAAAAATACAACAAGGGAATTTTTGACCAAATGCCGCTTAAAAACGTTTTACTACGTTTTTTATCCTTTTTCACTTAAAATATAGCTACAGTTTTAATAAAAGCACTATTACAAGACTTACTATACTAGAAGGAAGTAGACGCTGCCACCAATAACTACATTTTTAGAACTGGGGAATATTTCCACCATGGAAAATCAGCCTTTGCGTGGCCTTCAGGTGAGAATCGACCTCGTTTGAACGATTTTCTTTAGATGCTTCCAATGCCCTCACGACCAGACGCGTCTTCACTGCTTCTCCGTGTTCGTTTTTACGCCTTTTTCGCTACGAATCGACCCAATTGGCTTTTTAGGGTGCTAATGGAGATGATGCCCATGGAATTGGTGCTCGCGGTGAATACACTGGCTGATTACGTCCTGTGGCTCATCGCCATCGAGGAACAAAATCAGCATGCTCTGGTGCAAGAGGTCGGTCGACTTACTCGATAATGTTACAAATTTATTTTCAGATTGTGGAAATTCTGGACCGAATGTTGTGGCAATATCATTTCTTCACGCTCGATCGGCTGATGCTCGCCTTGGCCGTGCATCCCACGAGCGATGATGCCTCGAAATGGGGCATCTATCTCCTGTGGCAGCTTCTGACAATGTAAGCTTTGCCATGCTTGAGAGCTGGCCACTTACTACCAATTACGTGTTTTAATTTTCAGGCCAAACTTTCAAGAGCGGGCACGATACTACGCCCACAGCATGTCACCCTCTTTCCTCCCGATCGGCCCCGACTTTTGCCAGAAGCTCGTGGATTTTCATAAGGTATGTTTCTCGGCGAATGCTGGACAGTTACGAGTTATTTTGGTTTCCTTAGGATGCGTCTTCTCGAATAGAGGGGTATGCTGTGTTTATTAGCTATTTTATCACTCCTAAACGTCTAAATACAAACTTTTCGATCACAAAAGCAAAATCTAAAGTTTGCGACAATTTTCAGGCATTTCCACCTAAGCTTTGCTAATTATATTGTTCAGAGATTTCCGGAGTTGACACATCGGGAGATGGCGCAGTGGGGGCATGAAAGAATGGTGCAGGGGTCAGCGAATACGCACCCGCAAGTCAACCCACAGCTTCACATGCCCCTTTACTACAGTTCCGTCATCGATCGGATATTGCCGGTGGGTAAATGATGCTCTTCGTTGTTTAGTTGGATCTTTAGCATTATCGGGGGCCCATTTTTGCTAAGGATCCAGTTTTTCTACCAATTTTGACAAAAGACACAAAAAAATATAGATTTTTTCGACAAAATTTTGAACTGAGAAATTTTGCTGAGTTTTTATGGTTTTCCACTTCAAATACAGTCTCATTGTGCTAAAAACTCTATTAAAACACTTTAATATTACTTTACGAGGCATTCTGAACACGAAGGAAAAATTTGGTCCCCCATAATGCGAAAGAACCGTTTATTTTAGCTTTTCCTAGCCTGAAACAATTTTTGCAGGCATGCGACTTCATCCTGGGACGGGTGATCGAGCTGGATAAGCAGCTGCCAGATGACGTGTTCACCGGAATGCTGAACGTATTGGCGCCGCTCTACAAGTTTCACCGTCAGTTTTTACGACATATTAAAAGATGGTGGCTTGCACGTATTTAACGCCCATCACGCCCTTTCGCGTCCTTGTATTAACGCCCCCCCCCCCCCCCCCCGAAAATAATGAAAAGGGGGTGGGCGCTCACCTGTCCTACAAGTCACCTGCCCTAAAACATTTTCGTTCCAAATGCACATAATTTGGTACAATACGGTATTAAAAAATTTTTAGGACAGGCGACTTTTAGGGCAGGTGACTGGCAATCTGAAAAGGGTCTTATTTGCAGGGGAAATGGTCTTCTGCAGGGCGCTTTTTCCAAAGGCGCTAAATACGGGCTGTCGTGGCTTCTTTTTGGCTCGCTCTCCAGCAATGACATCTCTGTTTTTACAGCATATCCCATCACATTCGTCTACAACACGCTGTTCTGCCTACACGACATTGTCACACAGGACACGCGTGCTCGGCAACTTACCACGGCCATTATTCGAGGTATTTCGTAATGTTTTTTCCCCGACAAATGTTTAGATCAACACCCGTTCACCGCATCGTTCACCCAATCGAACCACACGAATGCCCCACTATCGGTGAGTGCTTTTTTCGACAAGAACTTTTGCAACGTGACCAAGCTTTTCGATATAGCTTTATGTTCTGAACAAGTCCCATCGACCAAAAGCTGATGAATGTGGACTGGGTTTTCGGAGCAAATTTTGAACGTTGGCTATGGTTCAGAATTTCAAGTCTATCGAATGGGCTATGTGCAGGGACATAGCTTAATACCGGCCCCGGGGACCCGCCCCCCCGAAATCGGCCGGGGCCCGAAAACTTCATAAGGGGGACTCTTATGATTTTCATTTTCTCAAAAATTTTGTTGCCTGCGGCGCTATTTTTTTCACGTTTTTACGGCTATTTGTAGAGCTATGTAACCTTTTTTTCAAAATCATGCGCTGTTTTCTCGTTCATCTTTTGAGTTTTCTGGAAAAATTTTTGGGGCCCGCTCCGAAATTTTTTTCTGGCTACGCCCCTGGCTAGGTGGCATCGCATAATTCCAAAATCCCCTCAAAAAACGATACCTCGCTTAAAAAAACTGTAAGGGCGTAATTCCGCTTTGCTCGCCATATCCCCCTCTGTTTCAGGTGATCATCCTCGAGCTGGCCCAGCGTTTCAGCGATGCTACTGAATTTGTGCTAAAGTGAGTTTTGTGAGGCCTAGAAATTGAGACCTTTTAGACCCCCAGAGTTTGTGGCGCCCGACTGGAGATTTGCCGAGTTTGCGCCCGGCGTGCACACCGTCACCCTGGCCTGTATCGAGCTGATGGCGTCCCCGCACAGCCCTGAGGTATCATTTCTGCAATTTCTAGCCGCACTTCTGCTTCTTTAGCATTATCGGGGGCATGATGTTAGAAATGCCTGGTAACTTAATAGGTATTTTGATTGTGTGTTGAGTAAAATTCAATAAAATTTATCCTAAAATTTATGTGAAATTTAACCATATTTCAACTGGAAAACTATCAAAAAATTTCAAAAACGTTCGAAAAGTCGAGTTTTTGTAAAAAAACCCGCTTTTAACGAAGATTTGTAATATTTTTACGTTCAGGAATTGTAAATAACAGTTTAGAAACATCCGCTAATTAGATATGAAAAATTTGATCCTGATCAAAAAAGTTGGTCCCCACCACCGGTAAAGAGAAAGAACCGCTGCGGAGCAATGCTGTGCCGCATTTGTATGCCTTTTTTGCAGAAAATCGTGCAGGGCATGATCTCGACACTGTGCACGATGCAGCTGAAGCGTCCCCACCAGGTACTCAACGCGCTTTCCCAGTTTCTAAACGCGCTGCCGGCGGCGTATGGGATGCGCCTTGCCAACGAGGTGATCGCCGTTCTCGATGAGCTGATTGCCGATAAGAGTCCGGAGAGTAAGCAGAATTTCTACATATTAAAACTTTACGAGAATCTAGTTATTTTATTCGTTTCAAATAGTACCAATTCAAACTATTTAACCGCTTTAGGCCCCTCGCTGAGCCAAGTGGCGTTCAGTTATTTCGAAGAAGACGCGATTTTCATGAAATGCACAAAGTACACGGCCGTCATCGCCCTTGCCCACGCCTACTGGTTCCAGTCGAATCTGGTAGTGAAAGTTTCGCGAGTGATATATTGAGAGTTTTTGCAGTCGCTCTTTCTGGACGTACTCGCCTATTTCGAGAAGGAGGTCTTCCAAGAGGGGCGTATCGAGAAGATGGGCGAAAGAGGTGGGCGGAAGCAGTCTACCTGCCATACCCTGCGCTTGTATCATGGCTGTCTTTTGGACTACAGGAGTGTAGAGTATACCGAAATCCTGGCCGGACCAAGGCGAACGTTTGGTATACTTTACACCCCGGTAGACAAACCGGACACCGGGATACCAAAGTCGGCGGCCGGCCGGAAACGACGCCGAAATGTCTAAATCACCACCTTACTCGAACCTAATGATATTGCAGAACTATTCTTCATGGTCCGATTGCTAGTGCCCACTCTACAACGATGCTACGACATTCGGGAAAGGAGTGCACCCGATCTCGAGCAGGGATATCGATGGAAAGATGTAAATTTTATAAGAATGAACCCTCACATGTCTTGCTTGTAGCGGCAAGTTTTCCAAGGCTTGTACAAGCAATAAAAAGCCATTCCAGTGCATGACGATCATCCAATTCTACTATCTAATCGTTGGGGAAGTCTCCTCGCACATTGATCGCCCGTTGGAATATGAAGACGCGCTCTGCGATCTCTTCTACCACTTCAAGTACCTCTACGTTGGCGACTACGTTAACACGGAGTGAGTTGGACGCGCAAAATAAAGCGAAGATGGAGCATTCCCACTCCAAAATGATCGTCTTCATACTTTGGTATTTCCAGGGGAATCCAAAATCTTTTCTCTATTCCCGGAGATGTATAGCAAGTCTTTTAAAAGGTTAGCAAAATTGAGGTGTATTTCAAGTGAGGAAAGCTATTTAGAAATTTCAAAACTGTTTAAAAATAATGTTGGTCCAAAAATCCATGTTTTTGCATTTAGTTTAATAGTTTTTTTAAAAAGCTTTCAGTTTAGGAATTAAAAATTAAAATATTCTCCATATTTTTGTATCTGTTTAGTAGTTTTTTTATGCTAGACAGTTTGGACGCTTAGACCGAGTAACAAAACAGTTTTTGCGAAAATCAGATGCAATTCCGGTTTTTAAGAAAGTTATCTAAAAATTCTCCCCCATTTAATACTTACAATTAGGCCCGGTGTGGATGCGACGTACTCAAAGATGCATTCGTCAATGCGAGAAAAGCTGAGATACATCATCCCGAGCGGAACGGTGAGTGAAACACTCTAAAACAGCATTTTTGTCAATAAAAATGCGTCAAGAACGGATGAACGAAAATTTCAGGAGGAAGAAGTGATCGATGATTCGTCAGCTACGATTCGATTAGCTCCAAAGATCTCGGTGGATATCACCCAACAACAGGGGGCCGGGCTCGGCTCATAGTTCACCTTATACCTGTAAATTGTTCTATATCTATCTTCCTCCATGTCATTGCCATTCTTTCGACGCTCCAAAATCCACACTGGTTATGATAAAGGCCTCATTGTCAACTAATTCTTTATCCGATGCCGAGGTGTGTAAAAATTGGGTACCTACAAATAAATTATTTTCTAATGCTCGAACCGCAGTTCTTGAAAGGAAGGTTCCTTCAGAATAACTTATAGTTCAGTGTTACAATCGAATCTCGATGTTCAGTATGAATGGGGATGAATGCATAGAGTGTGCCGGACCGTCGACCTCTGCCCTACCGCAACATCGATCCGCCATTAATGCGAGTTTTTTTTCATTTTGCGTTACGGCCCGAATTTCGATGCTTTATTAACTTCAGAACTTTTTTTTGGTCTTTCGTAACACAAACCTGCCACAAAGTGGCAACGGTTGTTTTTTAAGGAGACTCACCTTAGCGATGGAGAAGCCGCTGGGGAGCTATCCCATCAGAATCCAGATGAATTGATGAGATGCCCATGGTATGTTGCAGGATTAATGCAGAAGATTTTGCATTCATTCGCCCTGCTTTCGAATATTGTCGACAATTCAGGTATTGGGGTGACGTGGGATGGGCGGGATCGGAACGTCTCCTCGAGCCATGCCCTGTGGGCACGTTCTTGATCCGCGACTCGCACAACGACTTCAGCCTGTACACATTGTCCTGGCGGGATACTGGTACGTTACTTTCCGGTACCTTCCACCTAGATTTCATATGGTATATTCAGAAAAAGTGCTGCATAGCCGTATCACGTCATCATTCCCGCGGGGAACGTCTTCGGCAATCGCCTGGCATCTCCAAAGCGATTTGGAGGTGGGCGCATTCTAGGGTCTAGTTTTAAAGTTTTCAAAAGCTGAAAATTCCGGAGCTCGTTACACTTTTTGTATTTTCGTGAAGCTCCCTCCTCGCTTTTCCGAGAGTTTTCATTCACTAGTTGTTTCGGGATAGAGAGTTTCGGGATAGAGAGTTTCGGGATACAGAATTTCGGGATACAGTATTTCGGGATACAGAATTTCGGGATAGGGGAAATACCCCGACTAAATTAAAAAATCGGATTTTTTACGGAGTGCTGTAGGAGGTCTGTTTTTAGTCCACATCCGCAAATACCGTATTTCCTCTAATATAACTCCGGGGGTTATATTTTTTTCACCCGAGGGGAGATCGGTTGTATTATAGGAGGGGCTGGTATAATAGAGGGGCACATGTATTTTTTGACCGACTGAAATCCCGAAATTCCCGGGTAAAATGGTCGGATTTCGCTTTCGACACAAATTTTTTCCGCTATAGATAGCTTCAAACCACTCAAAATCGCAGTGTCAAGCATAAACTTCAACCTTTTTTGCGTTTTTGGCCCATGAGCGCATATTTGAGCAAAAATTTCGGGGGCAGGGGTTATCTTAGAGCGGGGGGCAAATTAGAGGAAATACGGTAGTAAGATTCACGTTCAGAGGATCCACTCGCGAGACCTCAGCCTATTCGTCCATCAAGGCCGCTCATCTTTGCCACTAGGGTTTGTCGCTGTTTCCCTTCCACAACCAGTAAAAGTCGATACAATTATCTTATCTCCGCTCTCGACCTAACTTCTTAGACCCTAAAATTTAGGGATATGCGGCCACTCTCGCGATTCGCCTTGCTGCCCTCCTTGAAGTATCTCTGCCGATTAAAAGTAAGGATACCTCATCTGAAATGGAGACTTAATGAAGCAAACAAAATAAACAACAGGTCATTTCAGATCCGCCTCGACTGCACGAATGACGATCGACTTAACGAAACACGGGTGCCGCCAAAGCTCCTCGACTATCTGCAGCATCCAAAATTTCTGACTCCACCCCTCGATGAGGCTCTGCTCGCCATTTCTAAAATGTTTGATCGAAAATAAAGTTTAGGTTAATAAATGTCATCTATTAAAAATACGATTCAAGCCGTCGCGAAAGGTGAGCTGGCACCAGCCACTTGGCCAGAAATATGCATTTACAGAGTGATATTCGGTGAAGGTGCCCCGTTTTCTCCAAACGCTAGGCTTAGTACACTAATTTTGTTAAAACAAAAATGTTCTCGAAAGTTCCAAGAGTAGAGCGTGTTCGAAACCTACCACCCTGCTATAAACTTTATTGTTTGATCTCGAAAATCCGATTATTGGGCCAACGTTCGGGCATATGCCAAATAACGAAACGAGAGGACCCCCGCTAACAGCTCAGTACCGGATTTTTGCATCGCCGCGTATTTTTTGCCGTTATTCTCAGTTTTTATTACCGTTTTTTGTCGTAGTCGTGTTGTGCAACGATTCAATGGGAGGGTCCACATGTCGTCGGGGCGATACGGCACAAGGGTTTTTGTGGAACCCATCCACCCATCTCCCTCCCCCTCCTCCTCCCTTCTCCCCATCATCCACCAGCTGCCAAATATTCCACTGGCTCGATTTGAGGGGCCCGTCCCTCAAACCTTTTCTCCCCCTTCTCCTTCCATCACTTTCACCCTCCTTGCCACCCTCACTGCTGTTGCTCCTCCTCTGGAACTTTTTGAAGGTGGACGTGTACAAAACAGGATTTCCTTTCGTCGAAAATTCTTTCGCTGAAATTTCAATGCCTTTTTCGCCCCGATTATTGATCTCAAACATTGGCAAATGGAAATTTCGACGAAATGTATTTCGACATACTGATAGTAACGCTTTTTAGCTTTTTCGACGAAAGGTGACCGATTTTAACTAACCTAATAAATTTGTTCTTAGTTATAGATTATAGGTTTAACTTTTCTTGCTATCCCCAATTTTGAGCCAAAAGCAACAGATTAAACACAAGCAACAAAGGCAACAAAAGCAAGAAAACAAAAGCAAAAGCCTAGGTCTTTCTCTGCCAAAAGCCCGTCCAGGTAATGCATGAACTTCTCAAACATGAACGAAAACTGGCGGAACGTTGCCTCGATGCTCTGAGCTGCGGGCTTCAACTCGCAGAGCTTTTAACACTATATGACTTGACTTGGTTGGCAGGTATGTACACCTCGACGTCAATATTTCTGCGGAAACGATTAAATTTGCGATCCTACTATATATCAACTATAATAATTTTCTTGACGCGTCCGTCCGTCTGTCCGTGTGAAGCCGAATTCAACTCGAAGGGGAAAGGAGCTAGAGCTTAGCCTCTTCGGATTCGGGAGAGCGCCGTCAGAAACCCCCAAACTGATAAAAAAATTATGAAAAACTTTTTGTTTAAATTATTAAAATTAATATAAAAAAATAGTGTTTGTGTGTTTGTGTGTGTGTGTGTGTGCCACTTTGCATCCACTTCCGTCTGTCTGTCCGGAGGATATCTTGATAGGGCATGGATTTTAAAGCACGTATGATACGTCATTAGGTGCGCATTGGTCTTGGGATGACTGAACACTTATCAGATTTTACAAAATCAGCGATTTTCGACATTAAATTTAGGTTTTTGTGAAAACTTCTTTGTTAAAAACAATTAGCATAGACCGGAAGTGGGGACGCGACTATATAAAGCGGCAGAGAAAGCGATTTTTTAATTTTTGCCATCCGAATTCAGGACAAGTATGCAAAGTGAAGGATAAAATGCGGTCGGACGGGGCCAGGGTTGAAAAGTCGCGAAGCGGCTTTTCAACCCTGGTTAAAATTAACTTTGAAAGTTTTTTCCTTAGTAAAAGGGGTGGGGGCCCCTCTCCCGGGAGGCCACGCCCCCTTTCCCTTCGCCCCTCTTCCCCAGGCCCCTTCCCGCGCCCAGATAGCTTTTTAAGTTACTTTAATACTTTTTAATACTTTTAATACTTTTTAATACTTTTTAATTATGTTAATTAATTATTTAAATCATCTAAAGCCATCGGGAAGGTATTTAGGTAGTTTTTGAAGGGGAATTCAGCCATGGGGGGTATCTGAAGCCATCAGGAAGGTATTTAGGTAGTTTTTGAAGGGGAATTCAGCCATGGGGGGTATCTGAAGCCATCAGGAAGGTATTTAGGTAGTTTTTGAAGGGGAATTCAGCCATGGGGGATCTGAAGCCATTAGGAAGGTATTTAGGTAGTTTTTGAAGGGGAATTCAGCCATGGGGGGTATCTGAAGCCATCAGGAAGGTATTTAGGTAGTTTTGAAGGGAATTCAGCCATGGGGGTATCTGAAGCCATCAGGAAGGTATTTAGGTAGTTTTTGAAGGGGAATTCAGCCAGGGGGGTATCTGAAGCCATCAGGAAGGTATTTAGGTAGTTTTTGAAGGGAATTCAGCCATGGGGGGTATCTGAAGCCATCAGGAAGGTATTTAGGTAGTTTTTGAACGGGATTTAGGCTATGGGGGGTATTGATGGAGGTGGGAAAGGATGTGGTGGAGTGAGACATGTAGGGTAGCCCGAAGGCCAGATAGTTGCAGTCGCGAAGCGACTGTAACCATCTGGTAAAAAAATAGTGTTTGTGTGTGTGTGTGTGTGTGTGATACTTTGCATGCAACTTCCGTCACCATGTCCGGAGGATATCTCGATTGGGAATAAATTTTAAGTTATATATGATACGTCATTAGATGCGTAATGGCTCTGGGATGCCTGCACGCTTATCAGATTTTACAAAATTAATTGTTTTAAACATTAAATTTCAGTTTTTGTAAAAATTTCGGACACCCTCTTTGTTATGAAACAATTAACATGCACCGGAAGTGGCGGTAGCCCATTTAATCAGGTAGAGAGTGTCATTTTTTATTTTTTCTCATCGGCATTCGAGAGACGTATGGAAAGAAGAATATTATGGGGGATAGACAGGGCCAGGGTTGAAAAGTCGCGAAGCGGCTTTTCCACCCTGGTTTTTCTTAATTCATGATTTTCGCTGGATTTCGCGCCCAGGATTTAAAGAGATAGGGGCGGCATAAGTCAATCGATTACGCGAGGGAAAGAAAATGTCTCTGCGCCTCTCCCCTGGGAGCCCTCTCTCGCGCGAGATCGCCGCGGGACCTGTTGAACCCCCCCCTCCCCAAGGGTGGTTCAACAGATGCCGTCCTCATCTCTTTAATGTATACAAAGCTTATAGCATTTTCAAAGCGCACCTAAACGCGCAAGGGCGCGTAATTCGGCAGATGACACGATGACATGGCGAGAGATACCAAAGTAAATAGGTGCCCACGTAACCCATACGTAAAGATGCCTTTAAAAATCCTATATTTTCGAAACAAATTAAATTAGGGTCGAGAATTCCCTGGAAAAAAATGGCCATCAATGTCGCGTAGTAATCGGTCGCTTAGAACAGAAAATCCGGCTATCATTTTGCTACCGTTTTGTTGGCGATGCAAGTGGGCATGTCTCGTGTGTCGTGTCATGTCGTCGCGTGTCTCATTTTGGAAGCAGTAGAGTGTCTGGGAGACATGGCGGGAATGGATGGAAGAATGGAAGATCGATAGAAGGGTCAGCCGGTCAAAGGATGGATGGATGGACGGGACATGGACTGAGTCACTGACGGCATTGCCTCCGGGCATATACCCCCTTCTTCTCTCATTCTCTGCACTCACACACCAATTCTTCGGCCACCACAGCTCCAGGGGTGGGCGCTACAACTCCTCCTCCTCCTCCTCCTCATCCTCCCTATCCTCTTTCTCTTCTTCTTCCCGGGGACCCCCGGGCCGCCACATTTAATTCCCCTCGGGGACCCGTGCTGGACTTTATTGACCACCTTCCGTTGTTCTCCACTTTGGGCTAGGGACTAGTCGAAGCTGCACTGGTTCGAATCCTTGTCTCCCACAAATTTTTTCTCGGTTTTGACCTTTAAAAATATGTTTCTGAAGATCATATTTCCTGCTTAGAATAGTTTACTCCGTGAAAAACTCGATAAACTTGTGGAAAATATGAAATCTTAATTTTTAGCCTCCCAAAAAGTCGAGAGGATCTAGGAAAACGCTTAGCCTGAAACAATTACTAACTTTCCGTAATTTTAATTTTGTGCGACTCAAATCTTGCGCTTGCACCAATTTCTCTGTCCTTTTTCTCGGCTTAACCCTAAAAACGCGGATTCCCAGCTCGTCTGCCGTTGACTTTGAAAACAAGACTTCCTTCTTCGTTTATGCTACTTTAAAAACTCGATAAACTAGGAAAATAACGATGGAATTATTTGAAACTCTTAAAATGACAATTCATACAGCTCGAAGTCTCGCTTAACAGGACAACCCGCGCTTATGGTGGCCTTAGTGGCGGAAATATAGGGCTAGCCCGATAAAAACTAGAAAAAAGCTTTTTATCCTAATTATGGCTAGACTAAAACTTCCATTTTATGCTGCTCGAAACGCGATAAAACTATAAAATTATTTCGAGTTAGAACATTTAAAAGGACAATGTTACTGTGCACGCCGCCTTTATAAAAACTAAAAAAGCGTGCTTCGGGCTCTAAAACCGTGAAAATACCACATTCATACTACTGAAAACCTTGAAAAAAAGTAAAAAATAAACAGGTTTCGTGGCCTAAAACTGTTGAAATTTGAATTTCTCGGCACAGAAAGCTCGCAAAAACTAGCAAAGTCGCGCTTTAAAGTGCGAACACTTAAAATTAACATAATTAAACAATTTACGATGATCTGAAGTTCGGTCATTCTAGCGGGTATACGTGGCATTCATGTAAACTTAGCTAAAAAATGCTACCTATAATTTTGCTCCACCAAAGCTTTTCGGAAGCTCATTTTGCGCGATTCCCAGAGGTTGAAGCCGCTCTTTCGAGGCCCAATTCACTAACTAGCTCTTGAAACTATAATATCTTCCTCGAAAGCACCACAGCTTTCGCCCTT